ATCTGTTAGAAACGAATTTGACTGCTGGTTTGCTAGTAGAATCCATTAACATGCTCTGGATGATGAGGCTACAATGTCACGTTGAAATTTTCAAAAGCTAAATTTCTTTGGAGAAGGTTTTATGCTCCTTAAATCATATAATTATCTTGGCATTCTGTACTGTCAGTATGTTACATGTAACTTTAATTATGCCCACCAGTGTGCGCATTCTCCTTCTCACTCTTTGTTTGTTTCTTTCTTTTTGTTTTCGTGGTGAAGTATGTTTATTTGCCTGCAATTAATTAGACATGTTTGGAGCTCTCTATTTCCAGCCTGTAGCTGTGTAGGTAAATCGTACGAGTGCTTACTCTTCATTCTGTCTGCTTAAAATTACTTTTACTTAATACTACGTACATGAACTTCCACGTACCAACGTTACGCGCCCATCTCGTGGAACTTTTCATAACCCGATACCAACGAAAACTTCTTTCGAGAGGGTACATTCTTTTGCTCTTAATGAACTCAACAACAAACGCAAATCTAAAAACTACCAACCATACTATTCACCAACACATTTGCCACTGCAGTGTCATTTAATTATAGTTACATGTAAGACATGTCAACTGACAAGAATGTTGTTTGAAAATAATCGACTATCCTTTGTCTTACTTGTCCTATCACGGATAACAGACGCCAGATCTGAAGTCACGACGTGGAAATTATTTCTGCTAACAAGCAGCTTTATTTAGTAGCATTTCAAATTTTTTTTAACCATCACCCGCGGCCGAGCTCGACTGGAACCCAGAACCTCTTGAATTCAACTAGTAAAAACATGGGCTCCGGAGAGCCACAACGAAGATCTATATTAATAGTATTAAATTTTTATGTGTAAGTTATAATAAAAAATATTCAACTGTACCCACGAGGTAATGAATATAGAAACGCCTGCCAAAAAATACGATGCCAGGCGCAGATAGGTAATGGAGTTGCCTTCTTGACATCTACCAGCTCTATAAAGATCAGAATATCACGCTTGTCAGTCGTCAGCCCGGCCTCGACCTCTCCGGTTCCGTAAATTCTTTTCTTAACACTGACCTTCTTGTTATTAAGTTGGTCCCCTACGCTTTTATATCTTTTGTGTTTAAACTGTTGCTCAAGATTGTACACCGATTCTTCTCTTAAAAGTGAGCCTGCCTGTATAAAACGAACAATACATGTTAAAGACAAATCCAGGTTAAATCGACACCCGTAATTCTTCCCCCCCTATGCGAGGCGCCTTCAACTAGTGCAACCGGGTTTATTCTCGACACTGTGCGTTGAACCTTGCGTCTTCTCACGTCGACTCGGTCACTCCAGGGTACGAGGTGAGACAACGAGGATAGAGGCACATGTCTTCCATCTATGACAACATTCTTCGCCTAGATCCACCACATAGCTGGTCAGATCATGACTATATAGCTACCTCATTCGAAAAAATAATCACCATTTAAACATGAAAGCTAAGCCCCCGATAACTAGTTGTTGCCAGCATTGTTTTTTTCATCAACGTATAATTGAATCGTGTCACAACACACAAACCTCCTAGTCTTGCATTGTTGTTAATATCATAACATAGTCAGAGACAGCTATTACAAAGCGTCTTTTATATCACTCGGGTCCGCCGAGCGTCCAGCAGAACATTGCCACAATTTTAACTTCGCTCCCCCGCTCGATCTGTTCAACACCACGCCACGATATTTCGGACGGTTCATTGGGATCTCAACAATAACGATCAGGCCAGAAACATTGTCGACAGCTGCGCGTCAAAGGTCATAAGCAGCAGGTGTAAAAGGGAACTATTCCTCTTAATTAATGTATTGGCGAGGAAATGCAGACATTGTCGTCCACAAATCTATAACGAGCTCGACCTAGGCTCAGTGATACGTCCTGGTTATAGCCATCACGTAGATAGCCATCACCTGTTGCCGAGATTGGACGGCACAGCTGTACTAAGAGGTCCAATGATATCGCACAGTGACAAGTAATTTTTAGACATGTTTCTGAGATACGCTGTGCCGAAGTCGATGCTTTTTCTAGCCGATGCACCTTTAGGTCATATCTTTTATGGCTTTATGAAAGGACCCATGAAATGCAATCTTTTGACTCACATTGCTGTGGAAAGAAATACACTGTTCGGACAACACTTATATCTCTATATAGAGGAGGGGTTAACAGGATTTGGGTTCTGAGCACTGTTAAACCAAATCACTGAAAAGCTCTTTTGCTATTGTGAAGTAAGTCTACAGATTGTGTTAGGCCAACACGTTTCCTTATGCAACAACTGCTTATCGCCTCTCCTGCTAACACATACTAGTCTGTATATTAGCCCACCCCCGGTAGACCCTTAATTAGCACACTATCAACCAGGAACCTCTGAGAATGCTCAAATCGCCTCAGTCGTAGTCAAAACAGCCCCAGCCCATTTACGCATATGTATGGAGTGTGCGAAGCTGCACTATGCACACTGAGATAGGTGCCTTGTGCAACCTGCATGCAAGGTGTTTATTATCAGTCTGAGGATAATTCTACGGCCTCGAATATACTATATGATGACACTTACGCCGCATCTCTCGGCATCTGCTTGCCTATTAGAGCCACCTCCACCCGCCCCCTCCCCCCACTCTCTCCACCACCCCCACTACGTCCGCTCGAGCATATCCATGATAACATGTTAATATACAGTGGTACATTAAAGTCTTACACATCTGTATCTTAATTACTATCTACTTACTGTTATAGCAAGCCTATGCTATCATAGAATTTATATCTGATTAGTAGTATTCCTATATATATGCTTGAGCCTACCGTGAGGTGATGGGAGGGTGCTCTTCATTCGTTTGCCAGTGAGTTTAGCATCAGAACACCTGCCGTCAGGTGAGCGCTGTCGCTCTGCGGCACTTGTTCGTTGCAGCGGTTGTAGATTTTTCCATAACTTGTTTCTTGCAGGTGTCTGCCTTGTTGGGCCGTATTCCATCTGCTGTAGGATACCAGCCAACCTTGGCCACTGACATGGGTACTATGCAGGAGAGAATCACAACTACCACAAAGGGATCCATCACATCAGTGCAGGTACAGTTGTGTACCAACAACATGAACAGTGTTCTCCCCCATGCCTTCAAAGTTTAAGCTCATTTGCGACATCCCATAAATCTCGCAGCTTGATGTAGATGTCTCCAAATTTACCATAGAGTTTACCTGTGTATTGGAGGCGATTACGACGTGTAATCGAATCCACTAATGCAAACTAGAATTTACTAAATTCAGGGCATGAAATTAGCCAAAATGTGAACAGGCCCACCCAAAATTTTACACAGGTCCTTAGACAAATTGAACAGGCCCTTAATTTTGTTCAATTCATTCCATTATTAATAAAAGTATTAGCTTTGTGTTTATTAGGCATACTCATAATATTTTTATTTGCACAGTTTGTATTAAGATTACAGCAATGGCAGCCTCCAGTGCAATGGTCTTGGTGAAGTAAAAACTAGTCAGGAAATTTGTAAATATTGTTGATATAAAAGCAAGAAAGGCAAAATTTTGAATAGGCCAAGTGGACTTATTATAGGGGGGGGGTTGAACCGGCGGCCGCCAGCAAAATAGAGCTAATTTCGCGCACTGGTAGTTTGTAAACCCCATCCTGGGCTCTCCCATCCATAAATGACATAACTTTGTATATGCTTTTTTTTTATGCAACAAGTACCGTATTCAGGGCACTGCAGATTTCAGATGTTCGTGTGCACAATGCAGGTTGTGAGACTGTGTCGCATTTGTACTAAAGATGTGCCTTGTCTGGCAGGCTATTTATGTACCAGCTGACGATTTGACCGATCCAGCTCCAGCAACGACGTTCGCTCACTTGGACGCCACTACTGTGTTGTCTCGTGGTAGGTTTTCCTTGTTGGAGTTCCAAGTGTCATTGCAAACTTTTGTCAAAGAAATGAACGACTGTAGTGTTTTTGAGCCTTTGATTTTTTTCAGGTGAACTTTTGTCTGTAAGTGGTGTTGGTCAAATTAAACACCCTTAATCAGTTACACATTATATATGTAAAATATGTGTATGAGGAATATGTATTGCTGCTTTGGTAGGTATTGCCGAGTTGGGTATCTACCCAGCTGTCGACCCTCTGGATTCCATCTCTCGTATCATGGACCCTAACATTGTGGGACGTGACCATTATGATACCGCACGTGGAGTACAGAAGATCTTGCAGGTAAGTCTTTCGTCCTTCTGTGTATAGGTTTTTCCTGAACGTTAGAACATGAGGTCCACTGTTAGAAACGTCAAGAATAGTTTTTAAATCATGATCTAAAACATCAGTTTTTAACTTATAGTATTATGAACATGTTACACTTTAGACTTTCATAACTGTTTATGGTGTTTTTGACAATGCACCACAGGCAAACAATGTATGAGTTAGTACATTCACTGATCATAAATTTGCTTTAAAAAAATGTATTGTTGACACGTGTACATTGTGGCTTTACAGGACTACAAGTCCCTGCAGGACATCATTGCCATCCTGGGAATGGACGAGTTGTCGGAGACCGACAAGCAGGTCGTGTCGCGAGCCCGTAAAATCCAGAAGTTCCTGTCTCAGCCATTCCAGGTGGCCGAGGTGTTTACCGGATCAGCTGGCAAACTCGTACCACTTGCCGATACCATCAACGGTTTCAAAATGATCCTTACAGGTAACTTGCACATTTTGATCAGTCTTAGTGCATGTGGTGGGCTGTGATGGAAATTTATAAGTATAGTAGATATCGCCTGGCTGAGTAAAATACTTAAAAAATGTTATGCCTACCTACCGACCCTAATTTTCACAATCCATGTGACCCGAACCAAAGGTATTTTTTTGTTTGGCCTTAGTGACAGTATTGTACTAATTCTGTGTGCGTGGGGATAACGTAAAATATGATTTATAAATTTCAAAAAACTCTATGAAGCAAAATCTTAATATGCAATTTTCTTCCAAAAATTTAAGGTGGAAATGCGGTCCGTACGATTGCCATGGACGGTACAGAAGGCTTGGTGCGTGGACAGGTTTGTGTGGATACTGGTAGCTCCATCAGTATACCAGTTGGACCAGAGACTCTAGGCCGAATTATGAATGTCATTGGGGAACCAATTGATGAAAGAGGCCCTATTACTACCAAACAGTAAGTCTATTGTAAAATGTCTTGGTTTGTGCACTTTCAAAAGTTATTGAATATACTGAATAAGTTTGTTAAGGATACTCTCAAGGTTTTAGGAAAATTTTTACCAATTTTTCATTTTCAACTTTATTCGATGGCTAACACTATGTGCCACCTGTGTACATGCTCATTTCTCCATATAACGGTACATGTGAACTGTCAGAGCGTTTTGCTTGCCCGCGTACATGTGTAGTGACTAGTGAGCCACGGCTGACGTCAGAAAAACGCTGATTTCTCTGTTCCAATTTCTGACTTAGTAGTCGATGTATAAATGGATATTTCTCTGTGATTACAACTCGTTAATTTTACACTCGTTTTAATGGTAACATATTGCTGTAAAAAAGTGCGTCAGGGATTGTTATTAAGTGCCGTATTTTATGAGTTATGTCTCTTTATTCGCAAACATTTTAAATACAAACGTGCGACTTTAATTTTAGGCAGTTTTTTTAATTTTTCTCGGTAAATATGAAACTTAAAGAAAAAACCTGATGCACTATTTTGGTACATATTGTGCTTATGATGTGGCGAAAATTTTGTATCCTCGCTCTTTCTGGTAATTGAGAAATATCCAAAATACAATTTTTACATAAAAATGACATTTCAACATTTTTGTGGTAACATAATTAGGTGCTGGAAATTTCATGAAATTTTTGCCTTGAGCATAGAGATATATCTCCTCTATAAATAAAACAAGTGATTGATTCGATTTATTCGTCAATAAACGTTTAATCTTTATCAGAGAAATACCCGTGCAAAAGGTTGAGAGTATCCCTAATCCTGTTAATCTTGGATTGACTTGAAGAATTATAAATAAAACTCTTGTGGTGTAGTGATGATACTCTTTCGGGTCTGATTAAAATTGAGGATAATTTTTTCCCAACATGTACTGAACACCACGCATTTTGTCATAGCAAAAATGTGCCACGTTTAGGCCAATTTCATTCTTTTTGTATGATTAAACTGTTTGTAATTGTATTTTTTGTAATACTTTGATTGTAGCAAAGCATCCATTCATGCTGAAGCACCAGAGTTTGCCGAAATGAGCACAGAGCAAGAGATCTTGGAAACAGGCATCAAGGTTGTGGACCTACTCGCTCCTTACGTCAAGGGAGGCAAGATTGGTATGTAAAAGCAGTTAAGTTCTTAAGAAAATGGCATATCAGCATCACAAATTATATTGAAACTCCGGATCTTGTGGTAGTATGGTTAACTGTAGTAGATTTATTGATTGGGCAGTATAGTTTGTTTGCAGTTTTCAAGGTTCGTACATTGTCCTGGAAAATAGGCTAAGGTTTTGGAAGTCTTGTAAAATGGGCTATTATTTTGGTAGTAGAAAGTGTTGGTCTTGGAAAAAATGTTTTGCCTTTGGTATGTGAACTGTTGGTTAAGAACCTTGGTCATTACTACAAGTACAATACTACAATATATACATTAATACAATTACTATACTATACAAATGCAATATATGTATTAATCTAGACTATAGGTATTCGGTTTTACGTGGTTTTAATTGGTCAGTGGTGTAATGATGACAATCTTTCGGGTCTGAATAAAATTGAAGACACATATCCCAACATGTACTGAACACCACCGACAAAGTAATTGTGTCGTTCACGTGTGCAATGTCCTGGTAACTTATATCATTTAATCAAATCTTCATCAAATTAAATTTGGAGTTAGTAGCTTTTATCTTATAAGTGTGTTCTTGCTGTCAGGTTTGTTCGGTGGTGCTGGTGTCGGAAAAACTGTGCTGATTATGGAGCTGATTAACAATGTGGCAAAGGCGCACGGTGGCTACTCAGTGTTCGCCGGTGTCGGAGAGCGTACCCGTGAGGGCAACGATCTCTACCATGAGATGATCGAGTCTGGCGTAATCAGCCTTAAGGACAAGACCAGCAAGGTGAAATCTAGTTCAAGTTGACATTTTTGAATAGTGATATTTTTGCTTGTCTTATATTTTGAATATGTTCCAGATACAATTAAAAGTTGGTAGACAATTATATATTGTGTAAAAGCTAGAAAACGTGACCAGTAAACCAAAATTATTTTAACTTTGTGACCAATTTTCTAACTAAATAGCGTTGTTGTCTTCCTCTTTAGCTCATCTGACATAGTCAGATGCAGCTTGTAGAATCGCATGATCGTCCGTCCGTGCGAGCGTCCGTCCGTCAACAGTTGGGCACAAATCTAAACGGCTCGACGTACGGTCACGATATTCGGGACGTGGGGGGCGGGGGTAATTACAAAGAGTTGGGATGTCGGAGCTGGGTCATAAGGTCAAAGGTCAAGAGGTGTTACAGAAGGAATTCCCTCCTTAATTAAGTGATAGGGAGGAAATGCAGAAATTGTGGCCAAAATCTAACGGCTCGACTAGGTCGTGATAGTCGTGTAATAGCATGATGGAGGAAAAGATTATGTGCGAAATTGGAGTCACAGTCAAAGTCATGGGGCACAGGGCGATTTTAGACATTTGTCTGAGGACTGGTGTGAGGAGCGTTTGAAAAAACTTTATTTGTTGAGCGGTGACCTACATTATTTATGGCTTTATTGAAAGACATGAGATGTGCTTCCCACTGAAGGTGCGAAGAGTAAGTGTCGGAATAAACTTTTGAACCTCAAGAGAAGGGTTAACATGGATTTGTGTTTTACTAGTTACTGTCTGTTAGAAGAATGTTGAGTTTCTGGCTGGGTTGCTAGTAGATCCATAATGCTGGATTAATGAGGGTACATGTACAGTGAAATTTCAAAGCTAATTTTCGTTGATAGAAGTTTTATGCTCGTTATCCTATAATTTCTGTGGATTCTGTTACCTGTCAGTATGTGTAGCATGTAAGTTAATTATGGCCACTGCAGTGCATGTGGTGGTGATATGTATGGTGTCGTTTTATGGCTGCTTAATTAGGTCGTGGCAGCTCTCTATTTCGCTGTAGGCTTGTGTAGGTAAAATGAGGTGATTACTATTCGTCTTGCAAATAGTTGTTTACTATACTACGTCGTGAAGCTCCAGTACCAACGTACGCGCCATCTCGTGACTTTCATAAGATCCCAGAACATTTATTCGAGAAGGCCTCGCTGATACATCCCAATGTTTGAATTAAGGGCTATCCGTTTTGTATCGTACTTGCATTTCGCACGGAGACAGTAGATTGTCAGTAGCTAGTCTGCGGACAAGCAGCTTTTTAGAGCAATTTCATAATTTTTTACCATCGCTGGCGGGTGTGGAAACGCCGAGTTTAATAGTATGAAACATGGGTGGCCGGTGCACCCGATTTAGCATATATAGTATAAACATTTATGTGAAGTTAATATAATAACGAACGCGGGCGATAGAGGGTGCTCTGATTCGTTTGCCCCTGAGTTTAGGCATCAGAGTCACATGATCTCAGGTGAGCGCTGTCGATCTGGCGACTTGTTTTATTAAGTTGGTCGCCAGGCTTTTTTATAGTCTTTTGTGTAGCAAATGATTGCTCTTTACACGATTCTTCTCTTTAGGTGGCATGGTAGTAGTACGGACAGATGAACGAGCGCCAGGCCGCGTGCGTGTGGGGTGACTGGCTCCTCAGTGCTGAGTACTGTCCGTGGACAGAGGAGGGACAGAATGTGCTGCTGCTTCATTTGACAATCATCTTCAGATTCACACAGTGGCTCAGAAGATATGACTATGCTTAGCAATCTCGAAAATAGTGAAGCCCCCAACTATTGTTTGCAGCATTGATTGGTTTTCATCAGTTTAATATGACTTTCACACAATGCTTTGTATTATTTTGCATTGTTTTTTGCATTCATTCTGACTAGCTCAGAGTGCAGCTTGTAGAATCGCATGATCGTGCGTCCTGTGCGTCCGTCAACAGTTGGGCACAAATCTAACGCTGACGTACGGTCAGGATATATTGGGCACGTTGGGGGATTCGGTCAAAACGAGTTGGGTTCGAAGCTGGGGGTCAGAAGGTCAAGAGTCAGAAGTGTGTAAAAGAAGGGGGGAACAATTCCCTCACTTACTTAAGGTATAGGGGGGAATGAAGAAATTGCGGACAAATCTAAACGGTCAGGAGAGCACGGGGATTGTTGGTGCTACGGATTGCGAGACTGAACGGATGGTGGCGAGTATATTGAAGATAGGCCTCGACCTAGCTCGTTGATAGTCGGTGTATAGCATCACGAGTAGGAAAGCATCACTGTGGCGAGATTTGATGGTCAAGGTAAACAGTCAATGGAGCACAGGGGCAGATTTTAGATCATTTTCTGGGATTGGTGTGAGAGCGATTGAAAAACTTTTTATGTTTTAGCGGTGTACCTACGATTTTTTGGCCTCTTATTGAAAGGCGATGAAATGCAGCTTCTGCTGACATGCGAAGAATAAGTGTGGATAACACATTTTTGACACTCTCAAGAGGAGGTTAACATGGATTTGTTGAGCTGTTAACAGGCGTGAACTGCTTTTGCTATTGTGGATGTAAGGCTATCAGGTTTGTTGTGTAAGACGCAGAAAGATGTTTGTTGAACAGGTTACGCTCCTTAAATTCATAGTTATTTTCATAGAAGCCGTCTGTATTAACCCTGAGAAATAAAACTAGCTAAAATAGCATATGAGTAATGGAACCCTGATGTCGCGTGTGTAGGCAAAAACATGGGGGCAGCCCAATTGGACATGCATGGGGTGACTGGACTATTACTAATCCATAATTTTGGCCTCGGCAACCTGCATCAGATGTGTATAACTGTCACGCTGCGAACTTCTGGCTGACTGAAATATACGATAACCCTTGACTGACACTTGGAACGCGAGCCTCATCGCGGCACTGCTTTTGCTATTGAGCAGCCTCCACCCGCCGCCTCCCGCCCACTCTTCGACCACCCACTACGCTCGCGCTCGACGCATATGCATGATAACTGTTAATATGCGGTGTCAATTAAAGTTACAGACAGGCTGTATTCTTAATTACTGTACTACATGTATAGCAAAGCTAGCTGATCATAGATTTGTAGATGGCTGTATTAGTAAGTATTCCTATATATATTGCTCTGAGCGCGAACGGGGGAGGGGGTGGTGATGGGAGGGTAGCTCTTCTATTCGTTTGCAGTGAGTTTAGCATAGCAGAACACATGGCGTCGGTGACGGCTGTCGCTCTGGCACTTGTTCGTTGGTATGCAGCGGTTGTAGATTTTCATAATTGTTTTTTGCAGGTGTCTGGTCCTTGTTGGCCGTATTCCATCTGCTGTAGGATACCAGCAACGTTTGGCCACTGACATGGGTAACTATGGGCAGGAGAGAATCACAACTACCACAAAGGGATCATCAACTAAGTGCAGGTTAAGTTGTGTACCACACCTGAACAGTGTTTCCCCATGCATTCAAAGTTTAGCTCATTTGGACATCATAAATTCGGCAGCTTGATGTCGATTCTCAAATTTACATAGAGTTCCTGTGTATTGGAGGCGATTACGAGTGTTTTAATCGAATCCAGCTAATGCAACTAAGAATTTACGTAATTCAGGGCATGAAATTAGGCCAAATGTGACAGCACGAAAATTTTACGACAGGTCCTTAGACCAATGCACAGGCCTTATTTTTGTTTACAGTTCATTCCATTATAATAAAGTTTAGCTTTGTTGTTATAGGATACTCATAATATTTTATTTGCACGTTTGTATTAAGATACAGCAATGCGCGCTCCAGTGGCAATAGGTCGTTGTGCAGTAAAACTAGTCAGGAATTTGTAATATATTTGTTGATATAAAGAAAGAGAAGGCAAAATTTTGATAGGCCAAGTGACTTATTATAAGGGGGGGGGGGGTTGAGCGGCGGCGCAAGCCCCCAAAAAATAGAGCTAATTTCGGCACTGGTAGTTTTGTAAACCGCATCTGGCTTCCATCCATAAATGACATATTTGTATATGCCTTTTTTATATGAAGCAAGTACCGGTATTCAGGCTGCAGATTTCAGATGTTCGTGTGCACAATGCAGGTTGATGTGGAGACTGTGTCGCATTTGTATATAAGATGTGCTTGTCTGGCAGGCTATTTATGTAAGCTGACGATTATGACCATCCAGCTCCAGCAGACGACAGTGTCGCATATGGCCGCCACTATGTGTTGTCTCGTGGTAAGGAATTTTCCATTCGTTGGAGTTCCAAGTGTCATTGCAAACTTTTGATCAAAGAATGAAAGCTGTAGTGTGTTTTGAGCTTTGATATTTTTTCCGGTGAACTTTGTCTGTAGTGGTGTTGGGTGGCAAATTAAACACGCTTAATCGTACACATTATATATGTAAAATGATGTTATGAGGAAATAATGTAATTAGCTGCTATTGGTAGGTATATTGCCGAGTTGGGTATCTACCAGCTGTCGACCCTCTGGAGTTTCATCTCTCGCGTATCATGGACCTAAATTGTGGGACGTGACATTATTGATAACCGCACGTGAGTAAGAAGAATCTTGCAGTAGAGTCTTTCGACCTTCTGTGTATAGGTTTTTCATGACGTTAGAAACTGAAGGTATGTTAGAAACGTAAGAATAGTTTTTAATATCATGATTTAAAACCATAATTTTTAACTTATAGTATGATATGAAAACATGTTTACCTTTAGACTTTCATAACTGTTTATTGGTGTTTTTGACAATGCACACAGGCAAACAATGTATGAGTTAGTACATCACTGATCATAATTTGCTTTAAAAAAATGTATTGTTGACACGTGTACATGTGGCTTTACAGGATCTACAAGTCCTGCAGAATCATTGCCATCTGGGAATGGACGAGTTGTCGGAGACGACAAGCAGGTCGTGTCGCGAGCCCGTAAAATCGAGAAGTTCCTGTCTCAGCCATTCCAGTGGCCGAGGTGTTTACCGGATCAGCTGGCAAACTCGTACCACTTGCCGATACCGATCAACGGTTTCAAAATGATCCTTACAGGTAACTTGCACATTTGATCAGTCTTTAGTCGCATGTGGTGGGCTGTGATGGAAATTTAATAAGTATTAGTAGATATCGCCTGCTGAGTAAAATACTTAAAGGGACTAACGTCACGAATTCTTTCTATGAGTAAAATTTGTAAAAAAATTTCGATTTTTTTAACATTAAAAGTAAGAACTAACGGGACTAAACAAATCTTCAAATTCTTACTGATAAGATTGTTTCTCAACTAGTTCAAAATCAAAAAAGTGAACGATTTGAATTATGTTCTCACATTAATTGCTTGCTATGGCTAATGTATGGGTCACGAGTGTATGTTACATCGAACAATATAGTAAATAATATAATGAGCAATTTAAACCATAAATGTTGAACAGAGTTACTTATATTTTGTGAAAAAGTGGAAATATTTTTTTTATTTCTTTTTACTATTTACGGTGACGTAATCACTTTAATACTGCATTCTTGTTCATTCATTACAAAAATAATTTCTATTTCTGGACTGGTTCAGGGGAACTGATGTGTGTTCTTGTAACATTGATAAGGTGTACATGTATGCAACATGCGCTTTTATATACAGAAAGTGTCTCCATTGTAAAGCACAAACAGTTCTACTAGCTGTTATTTGCTTAGTGTTTCTCGCCAATGTCAATCAATGGTTGAGTCAATGGTGTAATGATGATGCACTTTCGGGTCTGAATAAGATTGAAGACACTCATCCCAACATGCACTGAACACCACCAGCTTAGGAATGTGCATTGCTATGCGCACGTTTTTTGTTGTCACGGTGATCACAATGGTAGCTTCGTTTTCATGATATTAGCAACTCAGGGTTTCTTCTGAGGGGAAATTAGACAACGGCGGTAATGGCCAGTTTGGGGAAAAAAGGTGCGTGATGGATTCAAAGGTGTGCAGTAGGCACGAGTGTGGATTCTGCATGCAGACGCGGGGGGGGGGGTGTTAGAGGGAGGTTCTGGTGGTCTCCCCCAGCAAAATTTTAAAGATTTTAATGTCTGCATTTGAGCCACCCCGAAAATATAATTTCACCTTTTCGCGGGTAAATCAGGGAGTATTTTACTCCGGACTCCCGTTAATTTCGCACCCTGTTACTTCTGGTGTCATTTTATCCACGTGCTATTTTGCCTCACCTTAGTGATGACGCATATAAGTAATGTTGTAACTTTATTTATTGACTTTTGAGTACCATTGAAAACTCAACAAATTCAACTATAAATTAATATTGGCTCTAACATTTCCCTTGCTGTCTCTCCAGGTAAGTTGGACCATCTTCCTGAGGTGGCTTTCTTCATGGTGGGTCCCATTGAGGAAGTAGTCGCGAAAGCTGAGCGACTGGCAGAGGAGCTGGCATAGATGTTAATTAGCAAGTTATTAAAGTTATTCCTTTGCATGGTGCGCAGAAAATTTAGTGAACAAAATTTACATGCAGCCATATGCTAAGTCATAACGTCACGTTCCCGGTTGGATGTAGTGTAATTTTTTGAGTCCATGATACCAACTGTCAGACTGTTCTTCAGTGTGGGGACTAGCATGTTACAAGATTTTGTTTAATGTTATAATAGAGGAAAGAGGATACAGTTAAATTTCCACTAAAGTGGTGTGTTTTGTTTCATTTGTTGCCTACGTGTGTAAACTAAAAAACATTAATAGTTAAACATAAAAGAAACGAAAATATTCACACCCATTATTTTCTTTTCATATAAGCAAGTTGTTTAATCTTTAATCGATTGCCACACTCGGTCTTCAGATGCCGCATGTGCAATCGTAATTGCCAAAGCAACCACCGATTAGTAAAATGCACAGCATCGCAAGATTGCACATAAGAGACATGCTCTGACATTAATAGGCTGTGGCTAAAACTAACTTCTTGTATATTTAAAAATAAACATATTCATGACTACATAACAACAAGTATTGGGAAAATATTGCGATAATTTTATATATATTAGAGAATTGTACATTTGCTGGTTTTGGCCATTTGGTGCATTATAATAACTACTACGGTACTATTAACACTGATAAGTAAACAGGTACATATACACAATTTATATACCCATTTTTACAGAGTAAATGTAAAAAAGATCATTTACATAATCGGTAAAAATATATTGCATTTTGGCTTTAACAGAGATATTGAGAGGTTAAATAGGGAAAATAGTAACACAGGGGAGGCATTGGTAGAATGTGTGTACGATCTTCAATGTTGACAGCTTGCTACAGTTACAATGACCCCCACGTGGTGGTTCTAACAAGGGGTAGTAGTTCAGCTTTTGTTTGAATTGTACACTTATCACTAACTCATCCCAGGGAATAGTACACTGAGTATAACACTGAGGAGCTCAAGTTCCTTTCACAACAACACGTAATAGCTACAGCATTGACACATATAATACATCAGTATACTATACGACGCATAAGCCTCGTCTACACGACAAACCTTAACTCGAGTTAGCGATTATGTAGCGTCTACACAACAACACCCGATAGCGATTATTACCGATTTATTATGCATGCGTGCGTGCGTGTGTGCGTACACGTGCGTGCATGCGTGTGCACGTACATGTCCGTGCGTGCGTGCGTGCGTCCGTGTCTGTGCGTGCGTGTGTGCGCGCATGTGCAGGTACACGTTCGTGCGTGCATGCGTGCTTGTGCAGGTACACGTATGTGCATGTGTGCGTGCGTACGTGCGTGCATGCATGTGCACGTAGACATCCGTGCGTGCGTGCGTGTGCACGTACACGTGCGTGCGTGCGTGTGCACGTACACGTGCGTGCATGAGTGTGTGTGTGCGTGCGTGCGTGTGTACGTACATCATACTAGTGTTGCCGCCTATCGTGGAGTTATGTACTATTTGCTAACTCGAGTTAAGCATCTACACGGTGCCTTAACTCGAGTTAGCTTAACCTTGATTGACTGGCGAGGTTAAGCTAACTCGAGTTAAGGCCCCGTGTAGACGCTTAACTCGAGTTAAGGTTCGTCGTGTAGACGAGGCTATAAAAGACTAGCACACTTATCATGGACACTGGAAAGACGTCATTCCTGAGGACACGGGAGGCAATTCATTCCTTTTACCCAATCATGTGCCGCAGCTTGCCATTCAACTCTTGTTGCTTAGCTAGCAAATGGCTCGCATGCACCTTGTAAGCCTCAAAATCCTGCACAGGAAAAATATTTTCTATCAGCATTGTAATAAGCCCAACACGTTTAACTAGCAATTGTAGATTATGGTAACAAACAGATAAATAATATTAGCAAAAAATGGCGCTTTACAAAGTACGAGATAGCTATATGAGGTAATTAAAGATTGCAGTGAAATTTCCTAGAAAAAAACTTTGCCCTGGATCTTGGTGCCTAACTAGGAAGGGAGATTTCTTGTATTGAATGTGGAATCATTTCAAAGCCCTAGTCGGTTTATTGTTCTAAAATATTACCTTCTGTGTTTGTTCCAAGCCTTGCTTCAATTTCTGTACCTGGATATCCTTTAAAACTGCCTCTGCTTCTCTCCTAAGAGGAGAAAATATTTTTAATTGCATAAAATTGCTTAAAATTCTGAATTTTTGTGTGATAATTGAATTAATTAATGTGCAAATTAACATTGCTGACGACTGGCAAAACTGATCTAGAGTAAAAAGCACAAAAAGCAAGGTGTACTCACTCAAATTTTAGGGCTAAAGCCTCTGTTTTTTTCTCTGATGTAGCAAACTTGGTTTTCAGTTCTTTGATATCATCTTGCTTCTCCTGAAAACCGATAATAATAATAATATAAGGAATGATAAATTTTAGTGTGCGTGTTTGACCATGTTTGACATATATTAGTAATTTAATTTGGGTGTGCTCCAAGTTACGATATTTTGTATCAAACAGTTAAGAGTCTCTCCGCTGTCAATCAACATAGAGCAACAATGTTGTGTGTACTACATGTGAGCATCACCTGCAGTAGTTTTCCTCTGTGGACAGCAAGATCCAAGAGCTCTTCTTTCTCGTGTGTGAGGTCAGCAATATTCTTTTTAAGGGAATCTTGGCACTCCCGGTGGCTCTCTGATCTGAGGTCAAGCTGAGATACAGCATCTAAACAAACAGCAAATGTACATATACAGGCCCGTAGCCAGGGGGGGTTCGGGGGTTCGCACGTCCCCCCCCCCCAAGGAAGAACAAAAAAGAGGTCCGCGATGTGCCGTGTGTGTGATAAATAACCAACAATTTTTCAGGGAAAAATTTGACTGAAAAGGAAAATTACGGCACGGCTCTGGATATGATCAAGAGCGTATCAAGGTGTTAACACTGATCTTGAGTCGGTTTTCGGCGAAAATACCAGATTTTCACCGCTCATTATCTCAGCGTAGGGGCATCGTAGGGACATGCGGTTTGTTTTACATTAACAAGGTAGGACAGCTGATCAATAATACTACAAAGAATCGTCAAAATAAAACGGGTAAAGTTCATTAATTCGACTAATACTGCAACATGGTTTCAGCATTTCACCGTTGTACGCTCTTCTTCTTTATACGCTCTTGATATGATGCATGCAACGCGCTCGCGCCGGCCATCAACCATGTGCTGCTGCAACCACACAATATAGATCTATCCGGTGAAGGAGAGAAGTGGGTGACCGTGAGTGTGACAATTCTTCAATTTTAATTCGTCTTTTTCCGCCTTCATGGAAGCAAGCAGTGGCAAGTCTGTGAAAATTGATTGATATGTTTGATATTCTGTATCTTATCTTCAATTCCTTTAATAAACTGCGGGAAAACAATGTCAATTATTCGACGACAATGTTTTGTTCCGCCGTGCTCAGGTGCTGTGTCCGAATTCGGAAACATAAGTTACGGCAATCACCGATTTCGGAGACGCATGATGATGCATAATATATTTATTATTTGTAACACCTAAGGAGCACGACCACGAGCAAGTGATGAGTGATAAGCTAAACTATCACTCAATGTTTTTAGGTGTGCAGGAATGAGCAAAGGGGGAAGACCTCCGAAAATACCCTCTGGCCTCCAGTCTGCAAAATCATTTTCTTTTCCGATCGTTTTCATGATAACGCGTTAACGCCACCAGCATTTCCTAAGCGACAGCTCACCTAATTGTTGTGATTGTGTTCATAGTTTCCAAATTTTGGCGAGCAGTGCTGCATGACGAACTGGTAAGGCTCGTGCGAGGCTGCGTAGCATGCTACAGGCCCACAGTTCGATTCCTGGCATAAGCGTACGAGGCTGGGGGGAGGTGCCCCCCCCCCGAGAGTTTCTCATTTGAAAATACTCGCTTTTTTTCCATTTGAAAATTTGCAAGAATTTCACCTCAGGTATGCACCAGATCACTCCATTTTAGTGTAAAAATTACAAAAGCTCCCTGGTGTGGTTCTTTCCTCCGCTCGGGCGCTTCGCTCCCTCAAGTGGTGGACCAGTGAAATAGGCGACCACCCCCCCAAGTACAAAGCTGGCTACGGGCCTGCATATATATATATATATATATATATATATATATATATATATATATATATATACATTTGTGTGTGTGTGTGTGTCAATACATTAATGTTTTGTAAACAGCACGTGTAAAATTTTACCACACATACTTTCGATATCCTCTTGAGCTTTTTTCAGCTTGCTGCTCAGATCACCAATCTGATGTTGACTGTTGCAATCTGTTGCTGTTAGTTGACTATGCAGCTCACTGAAAAAATGCACACTCGATTATACTTTTGTATTGTCATCCTTGTCTTATTTTTGATAATACCATATGATGCATGTGAAGTACCACAGATACTTTGATAAATCGAGAGATGAACGTTCTTGTGAGTATATACAACACATTAACTAGTGGCTCGCATGATTAGTAAAGAAGGATGTGGTTTGACTTTAGATAGTGAAGAATCAAGAGCCACTATGCTTGACAAGGAATAAACCATCTCTACTATCTTATATTCAGTACCTATTGCTTTTACAAATCTCATTATATTTGGTCTCGAGTGACTGGAATTCTCCACGTAATGCAAGGAGTTGTCCATCTCTCTCCATGACTGCTGTAGAGAACAGCTTGGTGTTTTCTTCCAACAGCTGCACATTCTCCTTTCTAATTTCCTCATTGCCTAAACAAATAAATTAATATATAAATAATATTATCAATGCAAGCACAACAATTAAAGCTGGACCACAATCAGGTGCATTCAAATAAAAGATTTGTTTATTATAATCATGAAACACTCTTGCAGCAATCATGAACGACATTGCAAATGCTGTTCCTACTGGCTTTGTACTCATCCTTGATGGTGATCAACTCCTCATGGTTGCTCGCCAGCTGATGGAAGCGTTTCTCCAGCATGCCCACTTTGGCAACCTCGTCCCGCATCCGAGTCTCCAGCTGCTGCTTCTCTATCCGCAGCTCCTTCACCAGTGACTCTAAACACTGGACTCTCTGGCATGCTTCGTCTGCTCTCTGCCAATTGTTAATCCGTGTCAAGAGATCAGATTGAGAGTTAGTTACACAAGTAAAATGTAATAAAACACACCACTTTGCATTATTAGTCAAAATTGGGATTGGCAGAGTGGCAAAACTACAGCATAAAACGTTATTAGTTTACAACCTGCTTTACTATTGGAACATACATTAATAAAATTGTTTGATTGAAACGTTATATATTGATTGGCTCGATCTTCATACCTTCTTCAAAATCGTGATTAATTGTGATTGATCATCAATTCTTGTGAGAAGTGCCTGATCACCATGTACAGAACCTCCATGTGAACTTTGTAACATTCTCCACCACTGCATTTATGGAACACCAGTAATATTAAATTGTGTTAATTAATATCTGTGATTATGACATAATCAGGAACACATAAGAAAAATGATTATCTGCTCGTAGCACAACCTTGTGCATTATGTTCATAATAATCCCTGCATAATGCGGAGTGATGGAGGCTTCAACAGATACAAACACGTAATCCAACAGGCAGTAAACTACACTGATAGGTTACATATTGGTATAATGTGTATCACCAATAAATAAAAGTGTGCCAGAGAAACTTTGAGAATCTAGGATTCTAGGGAACAATAATATTTATTGTTCTAATTATTAATTAGAGAAAGTGAACGGCTGGAGATTGGAGAGAACAAGTAGCACTACAAGTATTAAACTGGTGGCAGGTGGAGAAGGGGCAGGGATGGAGAAGATGGAGAAGAGCAAATAGATGGGTGATACTCCATTAGGAGTGTTCCCAACTTTAATGTCATTAATGGTCATAATAACATATATATATATATATATATATATATATATATATATATGGTCATGGTCATATATTAGTGTTGTGGTTTATTGTCATTTAGGTTAGGGTTAGGGTTAGGATTATCAATCATTAATCATTAATGATATCAAAGTTGGGAACACTCCTAATGGAGCGTTAGCCAAATAGATAATGATCGCCATATAAAGAAGGAAGGGGTGGAGGTAACTGATGCAGATTGTGGTGGTAGCAACAGAAATAGTAGCTCTAGAACTATAGCCCTTGTTCGCCACAGGCCCATATGGCTGTGGCACGTACCCCCTGTGCCTGTGGCGAACAAGGGCTATATAGATCTAGAGCTACAGAAATATGGAACATGACATGGACGTTCTTGCCTATTGCATTTGGAGTGAAGAACAACAATTCATTCTTATAAAAATCTGTGTTTTGACTCACTCCTGCCCACTTCAGTCCTGATGCCACACCATGCATGGTAATTTATATGATAAACCTTTATTGCAAACTTTTACGAATAATTTTCATGAACAGTGAACTTTCCTCAACTTATTGTAATTGTATTTTTTTCTCAGACCGTTTATTTATAGGCCGTGGCTACGCGACCGTTTCCGGACGAGGAGCCGCTAGGCTAAGCATCTGGACATCCATCTCACACAGTGACATTTCACACACATCTTGCGACACCTACACGCGTGATTGCGCAACGGGACGGCCCTCTGCTGATGGCGAGTGTGTGCTTGTGTGTGATGTGTGGGTGTGATGTGTGTGTGTGTGTGTGTGGGTTCTGTGGTGTGTCACTGTGTGCTTGTGCGCCCGTGTGTTGCTGTGAGTGAGAAGAGAGAGAGAGAAGAGCGTGGGAATGTATATGTCGTGTGTGTAATGGTTATTGCGTGAGCAGAGAGAGAGGAAGAGAGAGACGAGAGTAATGAGAGAGATCGCATGAGAGAGAGAGAGAGAGAGAGAATGATAGAGACGAGCAGCTGTGCTGTGTGTTGTGTGTGTTGTGAAAGAGAGAGAGAGAGCGACGGAGGACGATGAAAGGATTAGATGGCAGCAGCGCATATATTGTATATATTGCTTCAACAATCAGCAGAGCGTCCGATTGCACTCATGCTGTGTACCGCGAGTCGCGCCGATCACTGTGTGAGTGGAATGATCCGGATGCCGTAGCCTGGAGGCCTACGCGACGTCCAGACGCGTAGCCACTGCGTTATTTATATTGTTATTGTTTCATATTTTCTTCATGCAAACCCTATAAGCTCTAATATAGCACTTGTTGCCGCCCCTGTCGCAACGAGGGCTGCTACGTAGTGACACTAGAACTATCAGTATCATGGTCATACAATTATTCAGATTGGCATGGGTGATACTCCATTACTCATCAGGAGTGTTCCCAAATTAATGTCATTCAATAATGCCAGCGTCATAAATAACATTATATATATATATATTATATATATTAATATAATATATATAATATATATTATATATATATAATATTATATATATATATATAATATAATGGTCATTGGTCATATTTATTTGTGGTTTAATGTCATTTAGGTTAGGGTTAGGGTTAGGGTTAGGATTATCAATCATTAATCATTAATGATATCAAAGTTGGAAACACTCCTAATCAGCTAATGTAATGATGGAGCGTTAGCCCCCCGCCGTGGCCATTCCCTCGTTTCAATCATAGCACTCGATCCTCCGAGTGTAATCATTGCTTTCGACATGTAGGGGCCTACTATCTTTAAATGCTAAGTTTAAACTTACAACAAAGATAATTGACTTGCAAGATACACGTTGATGTATATATTCGATAACGTTGCCAGGTTGGAACTATTCAAATGTTTACATTTCGACGAAATGTGCGGCGCTAACAGTTTAGACGCCATCTGACGCAAAAATTATGCAACTTTTACTGGGAAAGAAATCGACAATTTTTCAATACTGATAAAGTAAAAAATATATATCTTTGTTAGAATTTCACATATAACTATATAATTGAGATTTTTAATTATGAATGGCTTGGTATATAAAGTGACTAAACATATCGCTAAAGATTCAAGAAAGTACGACAAGCAACATGTCTGCGCCCTCAGGAACTTGCCAAATTTCGAGATTGTGTGCAGTGTCCAGAATTAGAAATAAAATTATAGCCACAGATTGGTCACTATTAGATAAGTGACGACGGAAAGTCATAGGACAACCTGTTAAAACTGTTGTTTTTCACAAGCACCCTAAAAAAGGTATTGACTATGGTTTACTAGTTCAACTTCAACTTGGGTTGTTGGGTATACAGTCTGAGTCTCTAGCACATCAGCGAACCACCGAGTGAATATGCAATTTTTCTGCTCATCCGTTAACCCGACCAGGCTGTGTGACTAACGTCAATACCGGTTGATACTCATCCGTTAGCTCCAAGAAACGGTATTGCTAGGGTTAGATACCCTAGTATTGACGTTATTGACATTGACAGGGCTCGAATTAAGCGACGAGAAGGGCAAGGCAATTTTTTTAGGGCATGTGAGAAATCGCCTTGAATTTTCTCTAAAATGGAAGGGCACAGAGGCAATTTTAAAAGGCACCAAGGCAAGTCTCAAAATTTGAGAAGGGCACAAAGGCACTTTTGTAAAATAAAGGAAAACTCAACAAATCATTACATCAACATCGTCTTGCTTTTAATGTACAAAACAATATGCCCCCATGTAAGCTTACACCGTAACACCGACCCCTGTACCCCCCTCTGCTAATGGAAGTACAGTAACAAGAAATTTTACATGCCCGCTATCAGGAGCGAATAATTATCCGATGCTGTTATTATTCCCTCCTGCGACTATCGGTTTTAAGCTCATCATTGCAACTACAGCACGCACGCGCACGTGTTATGTTGACTCGACTAAAAACGAAACTAGGGCAGTAGATTAAAGGGCACCGACGGCAATTACACAACAGGGCAAGGCAGGTGACTGCCGTCGGTTGGGTTGGATTTTCAGGGGCAGTACGGCGATTGATAGGGGCACCGACAGCAATTGCCGTCGGTGCCGTCGGTTAATTCGAGCCCTGGACATTGACGTATTGACGTGTATTGACGTTAGTCACACAGCCTGGTCGGGTTACTCATCCGTATGCTTAAGTTATATTCTGTATGAACTAGCTATACAACTACTAGCTTTACAACTATACGACTACCAGTATTATATCGCCCTGGGAATGTTCCTACATTTTATTTCTACTTTGTTGCAACGTTTCCTTAATATTATTCCTTCTACCTTGTTGCACGTTGCAATAATTGCAACGTGAGTTTGAAACGTGAATAATGAAGCGTTTTCTGCTGCAATCCGCAGTGTTGCTCCGTCTATTATTTGATCAACTTTGTCTGTCTTCGATGTAGTTTCTTAGACTTTAAACACTACTCATTATGAGGTTACATGATTGGTGCCAGTGCTTGTATTTGTAAATGTTATCTTTTAATTGTTTTAGTTGTATAATATTGACATTGTTTTAACCTTTTTTCAGGTGCAGGTTAAAAGCAACAGTACTGCGTCATAGCAAATTTTAACTCTGCTGAATGCTAAGTATCATAACAATTTATATGGTAAATGTGAATATGAATGTAATAATAAATCGGCTGTTATCAAGTCATGTACGATGCTGTGGAAAAATTATCAAACCATGTGATCATCCTATAAATTATGCTACAGAATATTATAGTTTGAAACAGAAAAGGTCGCTAACTACTGTTTCAAAATCGAGAATTGAGAACAATCTACATCGAAATATTTTCTCTCAGAAATTTAGAATTCCCAGAAGTTATGGTGAAGAAAGTAGGTGTAATAAGTTTACTCAGCAGTACAATCGTTTGCTTAGCACGTCTCCTGATCCAGATATCGCATTTAGCAATCCGTCAGTATCTAAGCGAATAGACATAATTATGAAAGAATATAGCAAGCTCCAAGCAAAGGTTTTATCAGGTAAGCTAAATCAGGTTTTATCCACCTGTGAACTGCCATATATTTTATTAAAACATTTACTGTATTATTTCAAGCTATAAAAAATACATGTTAACTACCACTGCAATAGGTGATTTAGCTGAAGAGGATGATGCAATACAAAAGGAAATCATGTCCAGACTTAACAGCTTACAGCCATTGATTGAAGTAGGATTGAACATGCAAGAGAAGAGAAAAGAGCTACTGGATTTAAATACACTAATAGCAGGTGTCGTGCCAGTATACTGTTCTGTATACATTTATTCGTTTGTAGAAAATCGTTTATAATTGATTAGTAAATTTAATGTATAGTACATTAGACATAGAGAAATTGGTGTTGTATAATATACGAGCTAGCTTATTGTTGATTAAATCTTACAACTCGTATAATATCAGTAATTGCTGTGAAAATAATTTTAAAATATTTAGCATGACACAACCGTTCTGTATTCTGTTTATGAAGATAGTGCAACAGATAGTGAGATGATGTGTGCTGCCTTGGAGGAGAAAAACTCATGTGAAGCCGAAATTCGAAAGCTGGACGAACAGGTTTTGATATATGGTGTTTTACGTGATTTGCATTTGGAATTGCAGTTGGATTAATGAATTACAGATAACTTTTGTTATGGTTTGATTTGTTTGATTAAATTTTGCTACTATAGTCATAATTCAACTTACATTAATTATTTTAATATACCATTAAGTTTAGTCAGATCCCCTTGTTACGGGGGTGCAGGGGAGTAAACGTCAGGGGATAAAGTTAAATTTCTCAATCAGAGCTCTGTGGCATGCATGGACTAATGAAAATCCACAGATGGCTAGCTATTCAGAATAGTAATTGCATGTTGACTGTTTGCATGTAGCATTCTTGAAAGATGAAAAGGCAGATTTAATAAAAACTCATGCAGGGTAATGGTGCAGTATTAGTAACATGCAATACTAGTTACTTTTAGTTATAAATCTTTTTACATTGATATTGCAGGTTATTGAGCTTTTATTACCTAACGAAACCTTGGACGACAATGACATTATATTGGAGGTTAGTGCTGGGATTGGAGGGCAAGAGGCCATGCTATTCGCCCAAGATATGTTTCTACTGTATGAAAACTATGCCGCAGAAATGGGCTGGAGCTTTGACATCTACGAACATGTACACACCGAGATTGGTACATAATTATAAAGTTAACAATTTCCAATAAGCAATTTTTTTCAGGGTACCAATGTTATTGTCAACATTTATTTGTTACAAACTGCAGATTTTTATCTCTAAATTGTTGTAATCTTATTTTTACTTATCTTCTATTATTCAAAATGATAGTCTTGCAAATAGTAATAAACACAAACTTCCTCCTATAGGTGGCCTCAGGCGAGCAAGTGCTGGTATAAGCGGGCAGTGTGCTTACAAGCATCTAAAGTTTGAGAGTGGTGTGCACAGGGTTCAGAGAGTGCCAAAAACTGAGAAAGCTGGCAGGATACACACCAGCACAGTGACTGTAGCCATCATGCCACAACCCAAAGAGGTCAGTCTTTCAACCAGATGTATGCAGCTATAGGGGAATCGTTAAATTGAATTATAATGTTTGTTTATGTAGTGCTGCAGATGAAAGATCCACTTATATAAATCGTTTCATATCAGATTTTGCAATAATGTAGATAATACAGTGAAGAAAATTAACTGTCGACTGTTGCAGATTGATATAGTCATTCATCCAAAAGATATCACGATCGAGTGTACTCGGTCTAGTGGAAAGGGTGGCCAGAGTGTCAACACTACAGATAGCTGTGTACGCATAGTTCATAAACCAACAGGTAGGTACTACTAATGCTGAAGAGATTGTTGACGTGTTATGGCATCGTTTTCAAAATTCAGTTACACCTAGTTGTATTTTGCTGTTATGCTTCCAGCATAAGTTGAAGTGCTTCAAATGTTGATTCTAATAGTTAAATTGATATGGCAATACTTATCATTGTACATTTTAAGGAGTTGTATCAGAGTGTCAGACCGAACGTTCTCAGATGCAGAATAGAGAGAGAGCCATGAAAGTGTTACGTACAAGACTGTACAATGTTAAAGTTGAAAAACAGCAAGAAGAAGAGCGATCTCATAGAAAACTTCAGGTATGCTCTATGCATTTACTCACTTCAGCACGCCTGCCTTATTACCAAGTTACTGAGCAACCCTAAGCCAAGTTTAAGCTTTATGATTGGCACTGTCAGGATTAATAGTTATATAAATTTGCTCAGCTGTTGCACGCACTATGCGTTCTCTTTCTCCTACAGGTTGGGTCAAAAAGCCGATCGGAGAAGGTGCGGACGTACAATTACCAGCAAGATCGCATCACAGACCACAGGATCGGTGTGAACCGGTTTCATATCCCAGAGTTCATGTCAGGTGGTAGCAAGTTCCACGACCTTGTCTTGGCTCTGCTCGAGGCAGACAGACGGGAACGACTCGTCGAACTCTTAGAGAAAGCTAATAATCCAAATGAGAGATCTTGATGTAAGGCTATATGCTTAGGAAGATTGTGCTTGAAAATTGAGTTGAGGACACGCCACATTACAGCACCTGTTTGTGGGCGTCAGGATCCACATAAATTCCGTGTAGTTGAAAGTATTATTCATACATAAAACGAATATCTCAAACTTGGCTTGTTTGGTCTTTTAATGGACAATATACGTTCTTGAAGCTTGGTGGCTGAGGAAAACGGCCAGAACAGGGTGCAAAATGGTAATTTACCAATGTTATGTACATTGGTACAAGCAGTTAGCACGGTCCGTGATACAGTACAGTAAAACTTGCATAAGTCGACACTTGGGACCAGCATATTTGTGCCGACTTACAAAAATGACGACATACACGTAAGTCGTCATTTTGTCGACTTATATTTAGGGCTCCCCTCCCAGGCGCCCGTCATCCCTACGCAGTCATAAACATGCTCCACACATGACGTCAGTTTGCACCAGATACATAGCAGACATGAAACAATCGGTCCATACATCAATCGACACCGCTGTTGGCTATAACGCACGTATATCGTACGCACTAGTGGCAAGTGCGGCACACGCTGGCTATCTGTAACACCCGCTGTTGATTACACATTGGCACATATCTGCGACAGCCAGAGAGACCGGGTACAAGATGGCGTTGCGCAAAAGATGCGTTGTTCCTTGACCGCCGAGAGTGGTTAAGCCGCGCACTTCCGCGGGACTGGGCGCACGCGACCGCGGGGTGTTGTATGTAGCATCTCGCGCTGCCCGCTATATACGAATTCGCGCGCCGAAGGAGGGCGGGCGCGCGAATCCGTATAGCGGGAAGCGTAACATCGCGCAGTTTTCGTCAGACGTACACCGGCTTGACTACGGCGGCCTTGGGGAGGGCATTTTCTGCTGCTGCTGCTTTGCTGCTCCAGGTCCACGCTGCAGCAGGGACCAGTATTGCTTGCTGCTGCTGCTGCTTTGCTGCTGCATGGGCCAGTATTTCTTGCTGCTGCATGGGCGCGCTGCAGCAGGGGCCAGTATGTACGTGTACGTAGGATTAGCTACGTGTCAAAACTGGCACGGCCACGCCAGTACGTGCTCGCACGACGTGCCGTCGCCACGGGCAGCGCGGGGTCAAGTTGGTAAAAACCTGCCACGTACGCAACCAGGCGCGGCGGCGGCGGCGGTTTTGGAGATAGCATCTAGACCGCCCACGCCCACGTGGAGCGCCGTACGCGTCTTCGTTAAAACCTCTGTGATAGACATGACGCTACACTCGGCAGTAGCCCACGTCATCGCGTAGCGGCCAATGAGCGAGCGCATAGTCGCTGATTGACAGCGTTTCTTGGGGTTTCTTGTAGGAGCCACTACGTCTTACCCTTGAGGCGCGCCACCCCAAAAATGTTTAGGGGCCGTTTGGAGATGGACTCCAGGCGTCGATCGCGAAATGTCGGTTGGATTCCGCCCTGTTTTCGCGGAGTTCGTTTTCAGAGCCCTGTTTAAGTTATCTGTCTAAGTGGACAATAAGGGGGCGGCGTATTCGCTGTGGGGGCGCGGCTTCCCCGTGCGCTGCGTGCAACTACCGGGGCCGTCCGTCCAGCTCGTACATCCCCTAGACCGTACACTGCACCATCGGCATTTCTGATGACAACTTACAGATGGGAAATTACTGTTGTTTGTATTACATGAGACCTGTCTAAGGGCGCCGACTTGTACATATTGACGACTTAGGCGGGGGCTATTCCAATGGGTTTACTATGAGAAAATCGGGACTTTGACTTCCATGACGACTTATGCGAGTTTTACTGTATACATATATAGCGCCCTGCCCATACAAAGGAAAACCGATTGGTCTCAGAAAACGAATTCACAATGTAAACCCTACAAAATGAACCTACCTACAAGACGAACAAGTCGATTGTGTCTATTTTGACAGGTATGCTTATGAAAATATTTTCATGCTGTTTTTTTTCAGTTCAACTCATTCCTGTATTTAATACACTTAATACTCTCATACATTTTATTAATGTATTTGCCACATATTGCTTCAGTAAGTATATTGCATCTTTTTGTGTGTTTTAATAGACATGTATAGAAGACATTACTTTATGTCTGTTGGACATTTTTTAATCTGGCTCAATAAAGCTGGGAGAGGACAGGTACCGTGCTATTCAACTCGTGGATAGATGTATGGTAAGTGTTGATTGTAAATTGGCTCTAATTTCTGTCTAACAGAAGAAGAATAAAACAATGAACAGATTAAATTAAAGTACATCGACATTTTTTTCTTTTAAAGTCTGTACAAATGCATTCTCTTCTCCATTGAATTTACTCCTGCAAAACAAAAATGCACAAAATTACAAGTCATGCAAACAAAACAACTATCAACTGTAAATCTAGCATATTTTATATTATACCATGAATTACATCGCACTCTGCCATGTTGTAAACATTCGTCTAAGATTTTCCGCATTAGTTGTCGTACAACCTTGTACTGGGAATGAAGGGGCTACACTGATAATAAGGGCATTCAAGCACACTAAGTTATACCTCGTGCAAGGGAACTTTCGTAGTGGATAATTACAGACGTGGGCGAATTTACATAACCAGTCATCACAGCGCAAGGCATTACTCTATACCTGTATCTACACCATGCAAACACCATGAAGAACAGTGCTGGCCGACTTACATCAGGGATCTCGATGTCGCCACTGTTGATCTTCTCGATGACATCATGTGGTGCCATGCCATCGACGGTGCAGCCGACAGACTGAGCAGTGCCCAAAATCTCCTTAACTGTGCCGGACAGGAACCGCGACAGAGAGCGATCACGCATGACCTTTGCGGTGTTTATGATATCATCCATGGTGATGTTACCGTTGTGTAAGACTAAAAGAAGTAAAGGAATTTACATGAACCACAGACAACATTAAACACTTTGTGGCATTACATTGAGTTTTACGTATTACATCAGTTTTTGAATACTCGGGATTTAAAAATTTCAGAGCGAACTCTATACTTTTTAATGCAAGCAAATTTTCCATCGTGTATTTGTACATGTAAATATACGGCACTTGTTAGAATAACATAGTGAATCTGTATTAGGCCAAAACAAAATATAGGTGTGGTTACGGTTTCCCGACCGACCCTAAACATTTAATTGTCAATTTTCTTAGAAGTAAAAAAAAATAAAAATGAATTGGACGGTTCCTGCTTCAAAAGGCACAACGCACATGACATCCTTCGGACATGGTTCGTAAATAAAATATTTCAAGAAAATAAAATGTTTCCCCTACCTACCTACACTATTTTTTTCGACATGTAACGGTAACCACACATATATTTTGTTTTGGCCTTAGGACCAGTAACTGTACAAATGTGTCAAGAGTATGAGCAGATTTATTCATCTATGAAGTAACAAATCCATACAGATTAATATTCAAATATGTGAAATCTGAAATATGCTACTCACTGTTCTTAACCTTCTTTCTGTCTCTGGGTGGTTCCTTTAGTGCTTTAATTACCATAGCTGCTGCGCTGGGCACAACACTGATTGTTGCTTGTCTAAAATTGGAAACATTCAGTAAATCAGTGTAACTCATAAATTAGTCATGTGACAGAGACTGGACAGTATTTTCTACATCCTATTCAAGTGCTTACAGAGCAGCAAGTGCCTGAGAATGTTACACTGCTTTTAGTAAAGGGGTGGACATACTAGGCAATTTTTCATGCGACCGAGCCGGCCGGCTCGATTGCATGAAAAATCGCGTAGTGTGTCCAGTGAGTCGCATCGATTTTCGAGTCGGCCGGCTGAGTCACCCGATTCAAACATGTTTGATCATTATTTGAGCCGGCCGGCTGCAATCGCCTAGTGTGCCCGGGTCTGCGATTGAGCCGGCCGATTGTACAATTCATCAGCCAATCAGCGTGCTGAAAATCCACAGAGTCGCCCGACTGAGCCGGCCGGCTCGATCGCACGAAAAATCGCGTAATGTGTCCACAGCTTAAGGGAAGCTGCAATTGGTAATAGGATTTATCTATCATGGGATGGCAGTCAATTAGAACCATAAATAAAGACCCTTACCCAGCTGCTAAACTTCTGAATAGGAGTGTCTCCCAGAAGCTGTTGGAAGTAGTTAGTAAGAATTTTTCCCAGTGAACCATTTTGTCATCTCTCAGAAGTTTTTTATCAGTCACGGTATATCAGTAGCAGAACTGATAAATGTGTGTTCATCAGCGAGACGGCATCGTTTTGGTGCTAACGAGTAGGCGCTCTGAATAGGAGTGTCTACCAGAGGCTGTTGGAAGTAGTATCACATTCCCCAGTTCGGGACTGGCCAATTTTGGTGCAATTTATTGTAAGTTATATAAAGTAGATATCAACATTTTAGAAATCAGAACTGGTTAGGCGTTCGCACTTATCAGCCACCGAATCACGTCACAACACATACCTGTTTTGAATGGTCAACTTGCAGGTGATCTTGAGACCTTTCCAGTCCTGGGTTGCCTTGGCAATATCATCTCCTACTTTCTTTGGTGACTGTAAACAGATATTATCCAATGCAATTCTGATTTGCTTCATGAACAGATCCGAGGATGGGTTGGAAAATGCACTAAAATGTCAAAACATCTCTGACCAATCTTTCACATCATTGCAAGAGGTAGAAGAGTGACACCATGCCCAATGCAAACCAGTGTGGTATTTTTTTAATCATTAAAAAAGATTGATGCAACAAATAAATTAAAATTAACTGAAAATGTAATTATCATTAAAAAGTTAATTTTTCCCAGTGAACCATTTTATCATCTCTCAGAAGCTTTTTATCAGTCACGGTATATCAGTAGCAGAACTGATAAATGTGTGTTCATCAGCGAGATGGCATCGTTTTGGTGCTAACGAGTACGGTTTCAACATTCACCTTGCTACTGTGCAGTAAAAATAAGTATGCCTCTACACCCATGAACTGCTAACACTTACCAAGCCAAGGGGACCAATTTTAGGAGCTAGTGTAGAAGTAGCACCAACTTCACCACCCACAGCCCTCAGGTACACTATCAGAAAAAATAATCATCATTAGTAATGTAGCCTCCTTAATTGCAATGGTTTACTTGTTCAAACTGCAATAGTCATTCATCATTCATGGACTCAATTTAGTGATGGTTTTCAAGAATTTCAAATTTATGACTAACCCCTTGGTACCTGTTGCAAATTTATATTGGTTTCACACGGATACATTCAGTATATTGACACAAGCATTGCCAGTAAAAACTACTGTCTAGACTCGTGCATTTCTATATATTCAGGCTTGAAACTAACCCAAAATCTGTATTAGCCAACAGAGCTGGTATTATGGAAAAATCTAAAAGCGCTAAATCCCTGAAGTGTGGTTCGGAAGCTCCATGGCCAGCAGTTAGCTCCGTACAGAAGGAGAGTAAGAGTGGGTAGGTATTGCATACGTGGGGGGGGGGAGCTCAATAGAACAATTGTGATTTTAGACTATCTGAGACCCATTCTGTAATTTAAATCAACATCAGGAAGCCTGCTGAAATATACTGATAACATTTAAAACATACTTATATATAACAATCCCCAACTCAAACAAATTATATTAAAACAGGAAGTTAACTTAAATCTCATGACAATGCAGGGGTCGAAATTAGATTTTTATTATGGTATCCATTCGGGATACCAGGTATTGAGATCTGGTATAGCATTTTTTGGATAGTAATTTCAACAATGTTGGTATCCAAAATCTTTAAATATAGCTGCGTTCACATGAGGATTTCAGTACCGTATTAGCCACACAGTAAAAATATTCAAGACTTATACGCGACTTAGCAAGCACCGTACTGAAATACGAGGCTTATTCGGCGAGGAAACTGATTCCGCGCTGGCCGCGTATTGTCTGTCGTGTGAACGCAATTCGAGGCCTCGTAAGCCGCGAAACTGTAGTGCGCTTACCTAGACTGGTACCCGTTCGCCACCTTCACTCCGGCAAGTATCCTTCGCTACACCGACGTACGTGACACGACGTCGTTCGCTACACGACGTTAGTGTAGCGTGTGGAACTGTCGACCGGGTACCAGTCTATATTATACCTAGCCAGCTAAGCCTCGATTCTCGTGTGATCGATGCGGGTTGTATAAGCACGGTATTTCAGCTGAATTCAGCACCAGATAAGTACGGAACCAGCGAGGCCGTGAATCTCGTGTGAACGCAGCTTATGCAATAATAGCATTTGGAAATTATTAATATGTAATGTAATTATTATATAAAAACATGAAAACAGTTTCACAGATATGCACAGACAAGTACACTGCAGACGTATTGTCTAGACGCATTGTCTGGCATCAGTCATGCTCAGCCAAAGATTTTGATTGACCCTGTCTTGTAGTTGCCACAACCCCACTGTAGGAACATTGTCTGAATCCTGCACTTCACATAGATCACCAGCGTTCTCTGAATTAGGTCTTCGGACCCTGCTGCCTGCCATCGGTTGTCATTGTGACTTTGAGATAAGGATATGGTTTGCAATTTTGTGACGTTAGCACATGCCAATTTTAAACTTGAATCAGATGATATCAGTTGCACAAAAAGTAGCAAGCAGGTCAGCCATGACATGCTACTAGCCTCTGGCGAGCAGAGAAGCGTTAGTTTCAAGTCCCGTATATTATGAAAATGTTTTACATAATGGCACATTGGAAGAACCAACTCATAATACAATAAAACCAGCCAAATTAGTATACGATTACCACATGCTGATATGGTTGCTTTAGGCACCTCTCAGAAACATAGAAATCAGTCATGGTATTTCAGTAGCAGAACTGATTTTTGTGTGTTCATCATAGAAACAACATATATGACAGTGGCCCTGACTAGTATCATTATCATTGTCAATGTCAATACTCAATACTATCAGTGTCACGTATCAATTAATAGTAATATTAATAAAAATTATAGTCACATGATGTATTGTAATTTGTATATTAATATATATTATAGCTTTCATTGCTTCGTTGCCAACCACAGGCACTTGAAGCGTTTCAATAAAATATAATGCTAAATAAATACGATATCTATTTACTACCAAATTCTTATTGTTTCTATACTCTCTTTCACCTATTATTGCCGACAGTTTCCTGTAAATTCCGCCCAAATCCTATGTACAACATACGCTGCTGGTGGCCATTGCTCTCGCGGCTGCACTGTGCACACTTACACTTATATATATAACAGGTAGGAAAGCGGGATCCCTAAATTCGCTCGACGCTCGCTTGATTTCACGCCTTCACAGCACGAATACACATCCAACAGCTTCCATTTCAAGAACAGTGTTCACATATTATAAAAACATACCGTCTCTGTTCGTAACCGACCTGTGTCACGCGAAATCACACAAAGACTGACAAAATTCTTGCGTTCGCTAACCTTGCCCAGTAAATAAATGTAAATGGCTGCCAGTACAGGGCTATATAGACTGGGACTCGCTCCCACCTCGATTACCCATCGAGTGACCAAGCTAAGCCAAGAGGTGGGAGCGAGCGCCAGTCTATGGACTATAGGCGGCGCACTGCTTTCCAACTCCCGTACGAGCCTCGCCATTAGAGCGTTGCAAAAACGTTGCAGCGTAAGAATGAGGTCACGAAGAGCGCTGGTGGGTGTTTCCTGATTCTGACAGCCATTTACATTTACTGGGCAAGGTTAGCGAACGCGAGAATTTCGTCAGTCTGTGTGATTTCGCGTGACACAGCTCGGTTACGAACAGACACAGTATGTTTTTATAACAAGAGAACACTGTTCTTGAAATGGAAACAAAGATGGAAGCTGTTGGATGTGTATTCGTGCTGTGAAGGCGTGAAATCAAGCGAGCGTAGAGCGAATTTAAGGATACCGCTTTCCTACCTGCTATATCAGGAGCGTATAATGATAAATATTGTCATTATACGCTCCTGGCTATATATATATATATATATATAAGTGTAAGTGGCGCTGATATGGTCTATGTCCCCCAGGGTACTGCCGGAACGTACCCTGGGTACGGTCCGGTATACCGGAACGTACCCTGATAACTATCTATCTGATATGGTTAGGGTTAGAGTTAGGGTTAGGGCTAGGGCTAGGGTTAGGGAGTAGGCGTAGGCCACAGGCACTTGAAGCGTTTCAACTGTAAACACACGCCGCCGCCATTGCGCGCACACTGACACATAAATATATAGCAGGTGAGAAAGCGTGCGCCAGGAATTCGCTCGACGCTCGCTTGATTTCACAGGATTTCAACACCATCTTTGCTGCTAATTGAAGTACAGTGTTCACTTGTTGTAGAAATATTATGTCTCACTTCGAAACAGAGCTGTGTCACGCAAAATCACGAATTAAATCATGAAATTCTCGCGATTGCTAGCACTGCGCGCGCGATTGTAACAACCTTAAGTACATGGCGGAAGGCGGCGCACTGCATCTTGGGTAACAACAACGTTGCTTTCCGCCTCCCATGTGTGCCCCGTCAAAGCCGCCAGTGGGGCGTTGCTATAGATACCATAGACAGGACGAACTTTCGTTACCTCTGCACGTTTTCAAGACAGTTACATCGGAGTGTACAGTCTGAATGATAGTTGGAGCATGGAGCGAGTCGAGTCGCCAAGCGGTCGCCGGAGGCATGCTGTTCGAAAAATGACGTCACAAATACGGCCGGTAGGGGGTCTCCAGATCCCGAAGTTGTTACAATCGCGCGCGCAGTGCTAGCGATCGCGAGAATTTCATGATTTAATTCGTGATTTTGCGTGACACAGCTCTGTTTCGAAGTGAGACATAATATTTCTACAACAAGTGAACACTGCAGCAAAGATGGAGTCGTAAGGTTGAGTATTTGTGTTGAAATCCTGTGAAATCAAGCGAGCGTCGAGTGAATTCCTGGCGCACGCTTTCTCACCTGCTATATATTTATGTCAGTGTGCGCGCAATGGCGGCGGCGTGTGTTTACAGTTGAAACGCTTCAAGTGCCTGTGGCGTAGGCGACTCCCTAGACTCGTTAGTGGAGTCGGCGAGGTACGGTCCGTCATATTAGATAGAAGTATTTAGTATCAGGGTACGTTACGGTATACCGGACCGTACCCAGGGTACGTTTCGGCAGTAACCTGGGGGACATAGACCGGCCCCAGGATACAGAACATGGATCCCAATAAAACCGATGTGCCTAACCCTAACCCTAACCATAACCCTAACCTATTATATTGATGTAAATGACATTGGTTTTATTGGGACCCATGTTCTCTATCCTTGAACCCATAGACCCTATCAGCGTAAGTGGCCGCCGGCAGCGTATGTATAATGTTGTACATTACTACATAGGATTTGGACGGAATTTACAGGAAACTGTCGGCAATAATAGGTGAAAGAGAGTATAGAAACATTAAGAATTTGGTAGTAAATAGATTTCATATTTATTTAGCATTATATTTTATTGAAACGCTTCAAGTGCCTGTGTTGCCCACGACCATGTGCAACGTTATGACACCACTCAATTCAAGGAATGGTTTCACGAACACTCGTTTACATACCTATTTTAATTTCGTTGGGATCAAACTTAGGAGGCATCCTGCTAGTTGATGGTAACTCGTATTACAATATAAAGAACGGAGTGGTGTGGATGAGTCCGATTAGGGACACGACCAAAAAGTTGCACCAAAATCCGATCACCGAAAACAGGAAAGAGGACCTTTTCTTTTGAACTCGCCAGGTGCAGACACTAGGCAGAAACAAGTGACACTGCTCAAATAGTTGTGTCATGGCTGCGTTGAAAGAAGTTGTCACTCTTTATCAAAATTTAACACAAGAATGGAATAAGAAAGCACCCAACTTGGAAAAATGTGGACAGCTTTTGGCAAAGTTAAAGGTGTGGTAAAGGCAATTGTATGAATGAGACCAGTTGAAATTACGAACTTGCATAATACTGTAATAGTTTCTTGACGGCAGTTTCGTCGGCAGCATGACTCAGCTCACTCACTTACTCGTAACTCGGCATGGCTCAGCTGTTACTTACTTACTTAGTGTTACTTTTAGTGCACTGTACGTCTATATTTTGCGTAGGCCGTGGTTACGATTACGTTATGTTATGTTTTGCTATGTTTTGTTCTGGTACATATCCACTACACTGGATTATATTTATGATTATGAATATGACATTGACAACGACAAGTCACAAGATAGCTGCCTACTGAGTACTAGTGACAAACATTGAAACAATGAAACATGATTTACATTGATTACATGAATAACTAATAGTAATTTAACTCAATCGTCATTAACTAAGTTAATGATTAAGTAAGATCATGATTAACTAATGATTTAGGACGTGGATATTCGTCCGAGCATCGGGCACCTGTTCGTATGCGCTATTCGTCCGAGCAGTTGTCGCGCATGCGCTGTTCATGTTGTATTACATAAATGTAATATAATGCTACTCTAGGGAGCCGCCTACTCTCTAACCCCAACACCAACCACAACCACAAACCTACCCTAACACTAACTGTAAACTGACTCGGATCTCTTAATATACTTGAGTCATAGTACCAAACGCTATCTATGGTGTATAACCATATACGCATGTATGCAGGGGAGTCACAACCGTAGGGCTGCCGTAGCAAAACGCTCATAGCAATTTAGCATTTTAGAGCATCTAGATTTTAAACTTTTCGGGGGGGAGACCCCCCAGACCCCCCCTTCACGCTCCCTACCTCCGGCACTTGTGCCGTGCGCCTGCGCATAGATAATATCCAAGGGGTAGTATACCAAGATACCCCTTGGGGTAGTATCTATGGCCTGCGGCATGCAACATGAACAGCGCATGCGCAACAACTGCTCGGACGAATAGCGCATAAGAACAGGTGTCCGATGCTCGGACGAATATCCACGTCGAATGATTTAATGATTGATTGATGATTAAACAAGATTTTGCAAGAGACATGTAACTCTATGGACAATAGCTGGCACTAGTAGTAGTAGCGCTACTAACTGGTCCACGATTACAAAAAAGGGCTCGCTGGTAATCGAACTTGCATGTTTTGGTGAATACGAGGGTTCTAATACATTTTATCGTTACTCTAAACAGTTGCTGTTATTCAAGCAATTAAACAGTCATAAAAGTAGGGTTAAACACTTGATGATTCTCGTAAATATGGCTTTAATTAGCCCATTATTAAAATACTTTGTTCCAAAATAAATTTGAACTATTGTTTGCTAGTTGTAGCCTGATTGGTGCGGATATGAGACTAGTATAATGGTCAATAGAGGACCGTTTCTTGAAGCTGCATTGACCCTGGTCTGTACAGTATTGCCACCGCCGTAATAATAAATAATCCTAATACTTTATTTGTCTTCCAGATTTCTTTAACTAGTCTGACATTTTTGCCAACAAGCAATACGTCTGCATCCAAACAAGAGCTTCTAGTTGCAAGTGAGTCAGAGGAAATCAGCTTTTCTATAAAGAAATATCAAATAGCATTATTCATTCTCTATTGTGTTTAGGTATATGTAATTATATGTAATAATAAAATGGTTCTCGTGAAAACACCGATCTAATAACATATTCTATTCATCTATAACAGAATATATACATAATTAATTATCGTAAATTTGCTTCGGGTTTATTTTTTCAGTATCACAACAAGTGACAACAGACTTCAGTCGTGAGTCAATGCTTATGCAGTATAAGCATTACATAGTTACATCATTTATTTGCAGGGGATGTGTTAGAGATTGGAGCACAGTGGAGTGTGGCAGTGAAAGACATACCAAGCTTTGAGAGATACATGGCACAGCTAAAGTGCTACTATCTAGACTACAAGTAAGTTATTGAAACTACAGTGTATCAGTCAGTGAATTGGAACCGTTGGAGTATAATGGTTTTGCATTTTTTGATTTACCAATAGCTGTTCGGTTGTACACTTGTTGTAAGTTTTTAGTGCATGCTAGCATCCAGACCTAGCATCACTATGAATTTACTATACAACTCGTGGGGGCGAAAAGGACTCGGGATGTCTAATTTGGGGGTCAAAGGTCAAGGTGTGTCAATGGAGGGGGAATATTTTCCCCTTAACTTAAGGTATAGGAGGAAATACGGAATTGCGGCACAAATCTCAACGGCTTGACTTACGCTCTTAATATTTGATGTATAGTGTGATGGGGAGAAAACCCATCACCAGCGCGAAATTAGAGGTCACAGGTCAAAGGGCAGTGGGGGAAAGGTTTGTTCAACTTTTTTGTTTCAGCACTGACCTACCATTTTTATAACTTTATTGATAGGACCATGAATTGTGCTTTCCGCTGACGTGCGAAGAGTAAGTGTCTGATAACCTTTTGACCCTCAAGAGGAGGGGTAAACATGGATTTGTTGACAGTTAACAAAGGACTGAATTTTGCTATTTGCAACCTTTGCTCCTTCCTGCTTTTGCTATTAGAGCCCCCCCCCCACACACACACCACCATCACCCTCCCCCTCCCCCACCCTCGCCCTCCCCCTCTGCCTCCCTCTACCACCCTCCTCCCACCACCCCCACTACGCTCGCGCTCGGCGCATATCCATGATAACATCAAGAGCCCATTAACCCCTGGGACAAGAGCCCATTAAGGGTTAATGGGCTCTTGATAACATGTGTGAATTCACATAGTGAAGTCATTAAAGTTACACAGCTGTATCTTTATTACTGTACTACCGGTATAGCAAAGCCTATCATAGATTTTAGATCTGTATTAGTAGTACCCTAGATATATGCTCTGAGCGCGAACGCGGTGGCGGGACTTGATTAGGTTGCCAGTGAGTTTATCAGAAGAATACCCGGCTATAGTATACGTCAGTTGAGCGCTGTCGCTCTGCGGCACTTGTTTATTTAATTAGATTGTAATGTAGGAGTGCATTTAATTTTATCCAAGTGAATTTTTTTTTAAATTAGGAATTTCAATGTTTGATTTAATATTACATTTTATTAAATTTATACATTTTAAATATGTGTTGTAATCAATATCAACCTTTAAAAGCTAAGAAAGTATGTAGGTATTCATAGCTCTTGGTTGCCTTCGTAAAGTGTTCGTAATTTTAGACAAAATATCCATATTAAATATCCAATTAGATTTTGCAATGCACAATAGACACTGTTTACATTTCGTGAGGTATTGCCACAAGCTTTCAAGAATTGTTCTCGTAGACATGCTGCAGAATGCTAATAACCTGGCAGAATCTGTGAATGTTCGGCAATGTCCGGGAGCAAACAGCTCAGTAAATCACAGGGAAACACGGGCTGCTCCCCCACCTCTCTTGTTTCCACGCATTTCGTGAAACAAATTTCCTGCTTCGCGACCTTTGCGCCTTCAGGAATCGTTAAACTTCTAGTAGACATGCTGCAAAATGCTAGTAACCAGGCAGAATCTGCGAATGTTCGGAAGTCAGCTGTTGGTCACCTTGTTCGACCGCAGGCGGCGCAGCAGCGTCCGCAGCTCGCGGTTGAAGTTCCTGTTCAGCGCGAAGTAGACGAAGAAGTTGAGGCAGCAGTTGAGCGTCTGGCAGCAGTTCTCGACCATCGCGAGCACGTCCTGCGCGCCGGCGGCCGCGTCGTCGTCGCCGCCGCCGACGCTCGCGAACAGCTTCGTTGACGTGCCGTAGTGCGTCAGCGCCGTGCTGACGTCGAGCAGCAGCGACTCGAAGCTCATCACCACCAGGGTGCGCGTGAGGCGGAACTCCGTGCGCCGGCCGTCGGCGTCGGCGAGGCCGCGTGCGGCGCGACGCGCGCGCCGGTAGGCGACGAGGAGCAGCGTGTTGAAGACGGTGATGAGCAGCCAGGGCACGACCTGCATGACGACGGCGCGCGTCCACAGGTAGAGCGACTGCCACGGCTGCGACGTGTACCCGGCGCACGCCATCGAGTAGCACTGCACGTCGCTCCGAGGTGGTTCGGGGGCGGTGCTGTTCGGTGGCGCGTGTTCCAGGAGGGTGCTGTTCGGTGGCGCGTGTTCCAGGGTGGTGCGGTTCGGTGGCGCATGTTCCAGGGCGGTGCAGTTTGGTGGTGTTTGTTCCAGGTTGGTGCTGTTCGGTGGCATGTGTTCCAGGGTGGTGTAGTTCGATAGCGCATGTTCCAAGTTGGTATGGTCTGGTAGCGAAGGTTCGTCGGTGCTGTAGTTCGTTAGCACACGTTCCTGCGTGCTGGCGTTCGCAAACATCCGTTCCTGAGCGGCTGTGAACCGGTAGTGTGTCGTAGCGGCGGTAGCGCTCAGCGAAGTCGCACTTCCCTCGCCAGTCGTCGCCACCAGCGCCGCGCTCATGATCTGAGCCTCCGCCGCGCAGGACATGACGGTTGTGGTCGAGCTCACCGGCTGCACGAGGAAGACGTAGGGTACGTGGAAGGCGACGGCGCCAGCTACGAGGACGGCGAGCACGCGGCCGGCGACGCGCGGCCCGCAGCGAGCGCGCGCCCACATCGGGTAACGCACGTGCGCGTACCGCTCGATCGTCACCGCCGTCACGATCCACGTGCCGAGTCCCGCGCTCGCGTTGCCGAGCGGCGACGACAGGTAGACGACGACGAAGAGGCGCGCGTAGCTGAAGCAGGCGGTGTGGTCGCTCGCCCAGTGCGCCCTGCTGGCGGCAAGAGGCAGCATGCTGGCGAGGAACGCCGTGTTGGCGATGGCGAGCGCGAGCATGTAGACGAGGGAGGAAGCGGCGCCACCTGGCCTCGCCGCGACGCTGAGCACGACGGCGACCGTCAGCAGGTTGCCCGCGACGCCCGCAATGCAGACGCAGCAGATGAGCGAGTAGACGACGACGGCGGCGACGTCGCTGTCGCCGGCGGCGACGGCTGCGCGAGCTTCCTCCGAAGCCATGCCAACAGTTCGTCGTACGGCGGTGGAGTGCCGATGCTGATCGCTCTGCCCGGCGAACTGCGATCAAGGGCGGCACAGCCGTCTGTGACACATTCGCAACTTTTTCGTTCCGAAAATTGGCCTCTCCTTGCGCATGCGGCGATATTAAACCAGGCACGTGAGCTCCGGTTGCCACACCAATATTGCGGGGGATGCGTCACTGGGTTTGTGGTCCACTTAAATCGGGTGTAATTAATGTGTACCTTATCAACTGAGTTAGCTGGAAAGTGGCATGGCGTTTTACAGTTTGGCTCTCACGTGTAACTACGGATCTTGTGCAGTACACAAGTGTTTTGTGAACTGATATTACTTGTTTTTCAAAGCAACTGTTTTTAATCTGAGAAGAATAGGGAGCGTTGCCTTTTACTGTGAGGGATGTCATCCGTGTTGCCTCCCTGGTTACAAGCTCAAATGTGTATTCAGCTTGGTTCGGTAATGAAACGTTGCTCTGCATTCTAGGAATGTAAAATGCAGATGTTGCATTACTGGCATGTTGCTCTACACACTAAATATCTCAACCTCTCTACCAACATGACTCATCATGTTTGCATACTTGTCACTCTGCTACTTGACATTGTAATAGATGGGGTCGACAGGAATTTGCAGTTGCCGAGCATTTAAGATCCTTGCAGTGATTAGTCGAACCAAAACGTGGAGTGGTTGATTTATTGCTCGAAAAGAACTAGCTTTATGAGAGCACCTCTAATAAATGGATGAATAGCTTATTGATAAGCACGTCACGGCCCTCATAATAAGAAACAACTCCCTATTCATCATGTCAATTTGCCCACCATGAGCCCTCTCCAGCAGAAGAACCCATCGATAATAATTGAAATTCCCACGTGCAGTCGATTCTGGTGGTGTTTTTAAGTGTCACACATAGTACCTGTATGTACAATTGGCTGTTGCAGAGATGACTTGCCAGAATCCGTCTACAAGTACCAACTGCTGGGATTAAACCTCTTATGTTTGCTCGCCCAGAACAGAGTTGCAGAGTTCCATACCGTAAGTGATATTCTCTCTCTCTCCTTCCTACTTTTTCTGCCTGTGTCACACTGTTCTACCTCGGCCTGATGCCAGCCGTGTTGCGTCCACTGCATGTTATTATATATATCCTACATGCGTTTTTTGTTATCGGCACTCCATGTGATCATGTAAACATTCTTGTTCAATCTCCTTGATTATCTCTTTTAAATTCTTTCATAAAAATGATATGTAAAATGCATTTTAGATTTTTATTTTGTGTAGCTACATATGATGTATCATGTAAACGTTAATGGTTTTTGCAATTATATTAATATTTAAATAAATAATATTTTAATTAAATTTTTGTTTATTTCGTAATTAATTTTTAAAATACTAATTTTTTAATGTTATTCCAAATGTTAATGGCTTCTCGCAGGAGGTGGAGCTGTTGCCATCCAAAGAGATACAGACAAACGTTTATATTCGGCATCCGGTGTCAATGGAACAGTATCTCATGGAGGGTAGCTACAACAAGGTGAGAGCCCGAGTATTATCTAGTGAGCTGTCTTTTCGACGGTCAATTTTTGTATTAAGACGGTCCAATTTTATTGCCGACAGCTGATGATGGTCATGCACTTATTTCAGTGAATAAATTTGTAATATATATATATATATATTAGTGATGTCATGATCATCGATTATACTCGATCATCGGTTGAACAGTGGCTGGAACCAAGCGCTTGGTTATCAAAATTCATGATCAATTTCATCGAAAAAAAAATATTTGAAATAAATGTAAAACTTGAACAAGAAAACTTGGAAAAGTTATGAGAATCAGAGATATCATCGCTACTATACAAGTTATCCTTTATTAACATACATGTATTATACACACAGTAGTAAACAGTGCAAAACAAACAGTAAACAGAGCTAAACAAGCACATACATGCACACACGTACATGCACACGACGTTACGCACACGCAGGCATTCAACACCCCGAGTAACCGATTGTAACCATCATCGGTTACTTGGGTCCAACCGATGATCGATTACGAAATTACAACCGATTGACAACACTAATATATATACATTGCTGGGACACAAGTGTTCAGTTATTTCATCTGAGACTCCAACTTTCCCAATCCTAGCTATCCGCTTGAGAGGTCATGCGTACAATACCCATTCACACAGGAGGCAGCATGCTGTATGTGTACAAATCCTGGTGGTCGTTGTCAGAAACGTCATGAGTTGTTATGACATCATAAATCTTTAATGTCCTAACTTTTAAAGGGAATTGTCTTCCATAAGTTATGATGTTTCTGACAATGCCCCCCCCCCATCTCAACTTGTGTATTTTACAAGTTACATAATCATGTTAGGTGTATGTAAATAGAGATCTCAATGTATGTACTCCTGATCATATATTGTACTAGTGGGATACCCGGCGTTGCCCGGGGAAATCAGTGGCGTTACTCAGTTGGTGACTGCTTGGTTGAAAGGAAAATACCCAAAAAGATCTAACTATCTATCTATCCATGCATCCATCCATCCCATCCCATCGCACCACATCCCATCCCATGGCATGCCATCCCATCCCATCCCATCGCACCACATCCCGGACCCATACCATCCCATCCCAAACAGTAAAAAACAATAAGACATTACAAATAAAAAATAAAATTAAAAAGTAAGAAATTAAAAATAATACATACTAAAGAGGGTAGGTAAAGGGGAAAAAAGAGGAAAATAAGTTCCCCAGCTGGGACTCGAACCCGGAATCCTGGTGTAGGAGACGGATGTTCTAGCGATTATGCCACTGCGCCGTTAAGGGTATATACCATGGATTCACACGTACGTGATGTTTTAATCTGTACGCACCGCCATCTATTGATGAATAGAATTTTTATCAATTTTTAACTTTTTTACATTTTTGTTTCAGCCAGAACCACCTCCCAGATGTGCTGATTCTGAAAATATCTTTAGTTGTCCTCTAGGCTGCGGAGTTCTCTAGTTATGCGAGTACGGACTAATTCGGCTGAACAACTTTATATATATAGATTTTCCTCTAGGCTGCGGAGTTCTCTAGTTATGCGAGTACGGACTAATTCGGCTGAACAACTTTATATATATAGATAAGAATTTGACTAACAGGATAATTCCAATGTTTTTTTCAACTTTTGCAGCTGTTTCTAGCAAAGGGAAATGTTCCAGCTCAAAGTTATAACTTCTTCATGGACATTCTGCTAAACACGATTAGGTAAGCACGAGGTGTGCATGATAATCATGTAGTATGTCCATAAATAAATTTTAAAGGCAGCTAACTGATATACCTTTGTACATAATTATTACTGTGAAATGTGTGTTATACGTTAAAACTATTAATATGATTGCAATAATTTAGATGATTGAAAATTGAAATAATTAAAACAGCTATTTGATAAGGTTAACAACCAACAATAGATGATTTGCCATTGTGGTGAAGTGCGACTTCATTCGATCGATATAATCGCGCATTGTCAGCGTTATGTGTAATTTTAACTGTAACAATGGTGTGGAGTGTGTAACAGCACAAAATATGAATATACGTGTTTAAAAGCACTAGGCCAGATGGGTTGCAATGATAGGGGCATACCATGTGTTTATTAATTCATTAAAAATATTTCATTTCTATCACATAAAATATAGAGATGAAATAGCAAATTGCATGGAAAAGGCTTACGAGGAGATTGCATTTAGCGAAGCAGCTCGTATGCTCTTCTTCGAGACACAGAAGCCTATGAAAGTGTATGCTACACAGGTAAGAACTATCAAAACCTTTTCGGCGAGATTTTAGCAATGATTATAAACATGTTATAGCAGTTAATTTATCCTTCTACATGTAAAATCAAAATATTGAGCTACTCCCATTAATTAATCATTAGCTTTGACTGCTATGCGCATTCTGTTCCAGCGAGGATGGGCGGTTGGCCCCAACAACTGCTTGCAGTTTTCGAACAAGGAGAAAACGGCAGAGACCGATACAATACCAGCTCTGGAACTAGCACAACAGACTATAGAGTATGCACGCCAACTGGAGATGATTGTATAAGGTGTCATCATGTTGGTACAATCAACAATCTACACGAGACTGCATTTTGTATTTATAAAAAACATGCAGTTTTATAAATATACTTTTCAGTTGTTATTAGTCATTTTATTAATAACAATTGTAGGAAACATGGCCATACTAAAATGAAATAGACAAAAGCTGCCAAGCGGAGTGGCCTTTCAATGCTGTTCTAAATGTTATATTACATGTGTGTGGCATCACCTTTAAATAGCTAAACCATCAGCCAGCAGGCGTAAGTTTCCATCTAACAGTCTAATGAAAGATTATGAGACTACATTATTTATATATAGAATTAATAAAAATACCAGAACAAACAGTTTACAATTTAATACATGTTTATTTACTTTTTACTCATAAATAGTTTGTACTCGGGATGAAATTTTGAAGTACTGTTAGGAACAGAACACAAAGTATACATACAAAATATCAGGAGTGAATAAACACAAATTTGCTTTTTTCTTTTGTTAATTTGTTTTTATTCACTCGGGGAAAGTATACATATGCCACTATTAAATATATAACACTGACATTATATACATTCTTGCTTTTGTCTCGTGGCAAATCCAGTTCCACCTGCATCAAATTTTTATATCCATAAAAACGTGCAGAACTTTACACACAAGTAATACACTGTTTTGATAAAGCATCGACTGCTTAATGCGACTGTACCATTTATGATTTCGAAATATTTTTGGAGAATGTTTTAGAGCACAGAAACATAAAAACTTGTCACTTGGAAGTAAAGCCTGTCTGTTAACTTCTGACCCCGGTACGCCATTGCAGACGGCTACACATTCCGCATGCTACCTGTATATAATCCGTAGGATTGGGGAAAAAACACGTCCAATCGCATGTACTCTTAGTGCAACCGGCAAGATGCACTTTTCCCAAGTCGGAAAATTGCAGTAAATACGAGTATGCTGGTCGGCTGAATATCCTGCGGGGGCGGGGGTATTGCGCCGGCTTCCCCCCCTCCCCCGCGCGTCGGGATGGGAGGATTGCCTCGGCTCGTTTACACGGGCTTGTAGTCGAGCTTCGTCTCCAGCTTCTTGTTCTCTGCCACCTTCCTGACGGCCTTCATGAAATCCTCCTCGATCACGTAATCCCTCTCTGCGCGGATCGCAAACATACCTGAAAGATAGGCGATCAAAAATCACCGCTACGCACTAATGCGCCACCACGCGCAACCTGGCATGTGCGCGTCGCTCTATTATCAGCGTCAATGTGCTGCCCTCTTTAGACACAGGTTGGTCTAAACGTAAACTAGTATGCAAGTGCTGAGTGGTTTTACTGCATTTCCTAGAGCTACCGACACACTAGACTAGATTCGTCGCAGTGACAGACAACATTAAAAATTATTACTATGTGCATCTACACCATTGATTAGCGATTCCAGGATATATGGCAGGTTTGGTGTTATCACCAGCAGTAGAAAACGTTACTGATTGCTGCGTCGAACGCTGATTAGCAACTAGCGTGTCGGAAACTCGACATTTGTCAGTTTGTCGTTATTTTTTCGTTTGCACTTCGGTGGACACTTGCTTGCATTCTCCGGTCATTAACACATACAGACAGCCACACGATGTTTAAGCGAACGTGTTATGACTTACCTGCTTCAGTGCAGACGTTTCTCAGATCGGCACCGTTGAAGCCATCAGACAGCTTTACAACTGCTTCATAATCTGTGGACACAGTGAAGATATACGAGTACTTAGCACTGAGGATAATACGGCAAGGCTTGCTCGATAAAACAGTAAAGTACAGGAAAGCATATTGGCAAAGCAAAAAACACGAGTAGAAATGTTTAGAAATCGTAAACACGGTTCAAGATTGTCAAGAGTAGAGGTGGTGTCAAGTCCTACCGATATCACCATGCTTGGTGATGGGACCAGCATGAATCTTCAGAATGTCTAACCGTGCCTGTTCATTTGGTAGAGGAATCTCTGCAGGAAAGATAATGTGACATTGTCTTACTATCAATCAATCATCTCTATCAATCTCTCAATCAATCAATCATCTCTATCAATCTCTCAACCAATTAATCAATCTCTCAATCAATCGTCGGCACATGAATCAACACTACGTCACAGTGGAAGCTTACAACAGTCATACCTATCTTCCTGTCCAATCTTCCCGGACGCAGCAGCGCTGGGTCCAGCACGTCCGGTCGGTTAGTAGCCATAATCATCTTGACCTGGCCGAGACGGTCGAAGCCGTCCATCTGGTTCAGCAGCTCCATCAACGTGCGCTGAATCTCACGGTCGGCCGACGTACCTTCGGAAAATCTCCTGCCACCTGCAGATGAACATCGCAATTAAACATTTACCTACCTTCGTATTTTTATGAGACCATAGTGTGCATTGCATCAACCATAGCACTGCCTACTAAGGATGAATGCTCACTATAATAACACTTTTTATCATCTACCCACCTTCGTATTTTCACGATATAGCGTGCAGTGCATTAACTTCCATGCTTTCTCATGAGGATGAACCATCATCGTGACATATGAATCATTTACCACTATTTCCTAATTCATCACTCACTTTTACTTGTCATGATGCTCCTACATGCACGAAGTAATGTGCTATAATGCATCTGTCATGGTGCATCTTCCTCCAATCGGGGATGAAAATTTGTCACAATATTGCCATTTATCATTATACTCAACCTCATATATTCACGAAATAACGTGCCACGCACCTGCCGCGGTGTAGCCGGCAACGATCACAATGAAGTGAGGTACTCACCGATAGCATCTATCTCATCCATGAAGATGATGCAGGGTTCATGATCACGTGCAAAAGCAAACATCTCACGGATAAGGCGAGCACTCTCGCCAATGTATTTGTCTACGATTGCACTCGAGACAACCTGTACAGCGCAACAACATCAACCTCCAATTAAAGTAAAAACGAGAGCTGGAGCAAGTTGTCAGAAACACCATGAGAAGTTGTGAAAGCATCATAAGTCAAAAATGTATGAACTTTTGAAGCAAAAATCTTACTTTGTTATGACATGTGAAACAAGGGAAATTCGTCATTTACTAGCCTTAGAATACCTACGATTTACGCGTAACTCAACCAACTTGAGCTCAAATCGTACACAGTACATTCGCCTACATCCGAATGTATTGTCCGCCTAACTTGAAAGAAAAGGCAGCTACTAACGACTCTCGGCGAGGCGGTGTGACTCGCTGGGAGATTGGACATCGACGCAACACTCGGAGAGCTAATCTCTGACCTATTTACAGCTGGTATGCCCCCACCGCAATCAGCAGCAGCTCTGTGGCTCAGCGGCAGCGTGCCAATCTTCCAGCGAGCCACACCGCCTCACCGAGAGAGTCGTTAGTAGCTGCCTTTTGTTTCAAGTTAGGCGGACAGTACATTCGGATTGATGGCAACAGAATGGATAATCGTGTCGTACGTTTTAGTCTGTATCTCCGGATTGCGGGTGTATACGAGGAAACGATTTCGCACGATGCTAGGCGAATGTACTGTGTACGATTTGAGCTCAAGTTGGTTGAGTTACGCATAGTAAATCGTAGGTATTCTAAGGCTAGTAAATGACGAATTTCCCTTGTTTATTGAAGTCACACTCCTTCCCTATTATCTACTTATGATATATATATATATATAGTCTTATCTATCTAAGATGTGTCTGATGTCACACCAGACCCCAGGTTCATACCAAATGTGACCCGCTCCAGCATAATACGGACTAAGTCGCAAGTCATTGTTTTGAGTATTATGAGCACGCACACATGTCAATGCTGAAAATGGCCTACCTGGACAAAAATGAGATTTTTACAAAAATAAGTTCCTAAACGCATATTTGTATTTAATCCGGATATATAGGTTCAGATATCTCTAGATTATTATGGTCATTTTTAATTAAAAAAAAACAAAAAATAATAATTTTGAGCGGCGCGCCCTTCAGACCGGCCCCTGACCGCTTATCCCCGAATGGGCCCCTTACCCGGAACGCTTCATCTCAAAAGCTGCACATTCCGGAATAAGTTGGTTTCCGATCTTCAAATTGCTGTAGATCGGTCAATTCTTTGGATATAGCCAAATATTATATATCATTTTAAAGTTAATTAAATGATCTATTCAGATATGCACATAACTCAATTTGTAGAATTTCCTACTTAATCCTGGTTTTGCTGGAGCGGGTCACAAATAACCATAACTAATGCAAGTTACTGTCTAACTGCTGCATATTCAAATGGTTATTTAACCAGGTGACCTTGCACATACCATATATATATATATATATATATATAGAATCATCATTTCTGCTGATAGCGTAACAGGGGATATGTACATTTAATTTCATCTAACAGGACCCATCGGGGCCCAACAAGAAAACAGCCGTCGTCCTCACTTTGAGAAAATTGGCATCGAGTTGCGACGCCACCGCTCTCGCCAGCAGAGTTTTCCCCGTTCCGGGAGGCCCGAACAGGAGGCAGCCCTTCGGAGGGGTAATGCCGACTCGCAGGAACAGCTCCGGGTTGAGCAGAGGCAGTTCGATCACCTCCCGCAGCTCACGGATCTGCTCGCCGAGCCCCCCGACACCTGAGTAGGAGATGTCGCCAGGGTCTTCCGTCGACATGTTGTAAACCAGAGGGTCGACTTCGCGCGGCAGGATCCTACAAACGAGAAAGTCGGCTGTAGCCGCTGCCGAGTCTGCGTGCGGAGTCGCGTGAGTGTAACGTCACTGCGATGTCTATCGGGGAAATGAAGTAAAAATCGCACATTGTCTAGTGTTTCCTGAATCGTATGCCTTGCACTAACATTCTCAATGACAAAACTGAACCTTAGTATAGCGACGAGAACCGTAACGTAGCACCTTTTAGAACATGCATATGCACGAAAAGGATAGTATGCAAAATGGTGCATATTTAAAGGAATTGTGTTTTCGTATGCACAAAATGCTAGCATGTATTATTATGACATATTTCCTCTATCTAGTAATGTTACCTAAACAAATGCTGAATGAACAGACATTTCTAAGCGCATGAGACAAACATGACGTATCACCTCATGATGGTTAGTGTTGTCATATCAAGTGCAACACGTGTTCCTTGTTTCAGCTTCAGCTTGTCTAGCTGTCGTCTGCAGCCAACTACATAACGTGGCCCATTGGTTGCCTTTACTATGACTGTGTATCAGAAAAAATTATGCACATACTTGTTATAGGCGAAAACATCTCATTTCCAATAGACAATTAAAGGTTCACCAAAGAAATCTGTGAAGGCATCTCAATTACAGACAGATGGGGGGAGGACATGGAAGGGGTAGATCAATTAGAGTCAATGACACGTCATAATTGATACAAGTGTTCTAACACATGTTAGCCCTACTGAATACACTTGCTGTTACATAAGCAATGCCAATGAGTATTATAATGGTTGAAGAACACAAAAGAACAATTGGGAAGACTGTTAGAAACCCTTACTTTAAATGCCCGGGGAGAACACTGTGAATGCTTTTAAAAATATTCATGAACAAAATGCAATTTGTTCTTATATTATGATTACATGATAAATTTCATGTCACCATCCAATTACATTAAATCAAACTTAAATATACATGCAAGGAATGAGAGTAACAACATCAAAGTTTGACTAAAAATACTATTGCAATATTTTATCAACATTTACCACCATCAATATCTCCTAAGTTATAAAAGGTCACTTACATTTATCTTCAGTCAGCTGTTTTAAAACTTCACCAACGATCTAAATGTGCAGAAAACAAGAAATTAAAATAAAGTCACATGAATGCATTATAATATTAAAACTACACATTATTCCGTACTGCATGTATATAAGGTACATGCATGCTCTCGAGTACTTAAATATAGTTCAACGAGTTCATTTTATCAGATATGGTCCGGTTACAGTAATCAGTATGTCAACAGTATACAAATAGCATGTTTCATTTAGTTGACAATTTGTGTCAAGACTACATAAATTATATGCATGGAGAGTACACCATTTTGTAGTTATACTCACCTGTCCAACACTTTGCAGAGCTTTTAGGTCATTCTCAGATTTATCATATTGTTTAGTCAATTCCTTTAGCTGCTCTCTCACTGAAACATGATGTTATACAATAATGATATAATCGTGTATTTAACAGACAGTATTTAACTTTCGACATAAACTCGTTACGGTGAAAAATCCACAGTATTCAGTAACAATATCATTTGGAACAATGGAAATTGCAATGGAGACAACTGGCAGCAAGAACAAGTCTGCACCTGCAGCTACAGCACACACACAGTATATATATATACAACATGGTGCTTAACTCGCCGCCGCACTTTTCACAATTCATCGTTTTCAATCAGTTACAACTCCGGTGTTCTTGCAGGTGACGCAACTTTCCAACTATCGTTGGAATAGCGGAAGACTGCTTAACAAGCTACATCCGCTATTTTTGACAATCGGCCTGCCAGAATGCGCTCAAATCACAGAAATTCCTCAAATATCCATGCGAAACAATCCTTCAAATGTTACCCGGCAAAAAGGCGGCAGAGCCAACCGTTGGTGGCTGCGCTGATTGGCTGCAGCAAGTTTAATGTGCTGACAGGCTTGCTGCAGCCAATCAGTGCAGCCGCCTTTTTGCCTGGTAACATTCGAAAGATCGTTTCGCATGGATATTTGAGGAATTTCTGTGATTTTAGCGCATTCTGGTGGACTGATTGTCAAAAATGGCGGGTGTAGCTTGTTAAGCAGTCTTCCGCTATTCTAATGATAGTTGGAAAGTTGCGTCACCTGCAGGAACACCGGAGTTGTAACTGATTGAAAACGGTGAGTTGTGAAAAGTGCGGCGGCGAGTTAGGCACCATGTTGTATATATATAGTCAATAGATGCGTGTGTGCTGTAGCTGCAGGTGCAGACTTGTTCTTGCTGCCAGTGATGTAGACTAGTACTATTATTACTATTACTAGTAGTATTAGTAAATAAAAACTGAACAATTCACTCTAACGGTCATGTCAACAGTTATACGTATCCTCTTTAATTATAATTTTATTGGCACTCTCATGATATCATTACTACGCATAGACTACAGTCTAAACAGAATCAGGCATTTAAATACACCAACATTGGCATTACCAAATCAAATGTGCCAAGTCACTAGATTGTCGAGCTGTTGACAATAGCCCGGTATAACATTTAATCGAAAGTACAAAGTAACTGGCACTGTTCGCTAACACAATCGTAAAAATAAATAATATTTCTCAAATATCTTACTTTCTTTTAACCTAGCTTCAATTTCCTTGTGTTCTAAAAGCTTTTTCCTGTAATCGCCCAGTACTTTTTCTCTTGCAGTGTCGGTCGCCATCTTAGCTTTACTACAACTGCTCTATTGTTATGCCTGCTACCCGGATGATGAGGAAGATCCCATTTTAAATTATAGGGATGGCGCGCAGAATAAAAGAACGAATTTTGAATATACATAATATTTATACGTTTGATTTGAGTATTAAAACTGTTGTAACCTGCTACTCTACATTGTTTATTATAAACATATCAAAAGTATATTAGCTATTTTAGTATTATGGTAATAAAGGTATGGCCATAGATATCATATAACAACGCGTTATATGGGTATGGCCATGGTTCCTCTCATTAACAATGGTGCGTCAACTTACACCAGGTGGCGCGGAAGACCACCTGCGCGCCCGACTGTCCCGCTTTGTCGTTTTATTGAATAACTCATATATAAGGTAAGTTTAAATAAAAATTGTAGATAAACAGCACAATAGCCAGTGCTATTTTACTAGTACATACATTCACACTGAATTTCTTGTTATAGCTAATCCGATTTGATTCAGTTGCGCAAACTAAAACTATAAGTAAAGTATAAGTATACGTGAACTGAACAAGTGTCGTGACAAGTGTCAATGATGGTAGTGCTAGTAGTACTCATTTTACATGCGTCTAAACAGAGGAATTGCTCCGACCTGTGATTGGAGGAT